GTTATAGGACGATCTAAACGACATCGTCTAAGATAGTGGCTGTATGTGTGTGTCTAGCGCTGTATACGCCGTGCCCCGCTGACCCACTTGCCGAGTGTTCGCTACGCAATTCGAGCGCGACCTGCTTCGCGTTGCACCGACGCCGATGCTAGGCCGCCAGATGTCCCGATAACGCAGGACATACAATCTTCAAAGATTCAATCCCCGAAAACTGATCCGTACAGTGAGAGGAATTCATTCGAACGCTGTCTAAAGATACTACTGAAATTATACAATTTCTTTGTATTACCCGACTAATTTAAAAGGTATCTCAATGTTGACAGCGCTAGATGAAGGGTCTAATACATTTTCTTAGACACCCGTCTATCAGTTATAACTTATTAAACACTACTCCGATGTTATTTTGGTTCGAATAAGCTAACCATAATGGATAAATTTAGACAATAGTCATCACAAAAGTACCGTTAGTCATGTCTTTGGTTATCCATGAAAAAATCTATACACATAAAGATTATATTGTCTATATATACCTGTAAACGCCCGGTTTGAAGTTTAAATATATTGTCACCGTTCTGAAACGTTTTATCAATAGTATCAGAAAGATAAAAACTAAGCCATGCCTATCCCAAAAATTGAAGTAATTTGCTAGATTGAGGCGCCTTCCTGGCGGTTGGGCCGATTATGAATCGGTACAGCTCATGGTTGGTAAAAAAAATCTGTATAGAAACGTGTCACTCAAGCTTTTATTTAGATGTTCTCGGTAAAAAATCTGTACAGATTCAGTATAGAAACGAAAACGCAGCGAGATGCGACGCCCGGTCAGAAATACGTTTACACGGGAACGGTATACACATATGAAGGAACACATCTGTGCACCTTCTGCGGAATATAGCACATGTGTTTTAAACTCTTTACACCTTGCTGCTGCTAAATTGACGCATGTTGACGCTGCCTCCCACGAACTAACGTCTTGTTATAATAGAAACCAACACTCTAAACAAATAAATAAAAATTAATGCCAAGTTAAACTTTCTTTAAGTAGAATATAGTCGACATTATTATTATTAATTAATTAGTATTACGATAAGCTGATGTTAAGAAACTGTTTTAAATGAAATTTTGATGTTTTCAATCAATAATGTGTAAATAAAAAAATGATTTTGAAAAATTTTGCAACTTGGATACTGCTAAATTACGACATTGATACTTTTGACATGTCTTTAAGATGAACATAATGTAGACGATCAAGATAAAATCAAACATTTTGTGTCACGCTATGGTTAAATATTAACCAAACTAGTCAGTAATTGTTGACTGTTGGATTATTGCAATAGTTTTGTCTCAAACATACGTGGATATATCCCTTTTTGAAAATTAATATGATTAGAAGAAAACATTGTTGTTTTTTTCAATACAAATAAAGTAAGAATATTTTCAATACATATAGTTTAGTTAAGTATAAATTAGTTTAGTTATCAAATAATACTGTATTTTTAATAGAGTAATAAACATATTAAATAATTGTATTTTGAGTACATAAGTACTCAAAATACTCTACGATGCTTATTTCCTTATTTTGAGACTGGTACTGGTACCTAAAACGATATAACGACCACTATATAATTAATATGTAACCTCTAGCCATGATATGTGAACAAACAACTTAAAAGCATATAAATTCGTCGATTCTTACAAGCACGTTTAAGTCGTAAATAAAACCAAAAGTATTTTCGACGCCAAAACATAAAATTACGAGTATATTTAGGTTAGCATCAAACAGATAGTATTTAGGTCGGTGCGACTTTCATAGTATAATTTCTTTGATACCACAAACTAAAACCGTCAATAGCTAACAAACACAGCTAGTTACATTGTTTTATTACGATTTCATCATCATCATCGGAACGTAAGCAATTCATCGGGACTAGAACATAGATACTATTGAATGAGGTATATTTTAAAATCACAATCCTATGGAACTAATCTTTGGGATAACTTTTTAAATAAAAAAAACCTAAATCAGTTTATAAATTATTATACCCAAGTACTGAGATAACAATCATTCAACAAAATACAACAGAATTGAAAACCTCCACCTTTTTTGTGATCGGTAAATAATTGAAACTATTTCACCATTCAGTTCTATAGATAGGTGCAGTGCTCGAATTTTCTTCAGGTCGGGACAAAATACAAGTCTGACCACTCGATCAACGGTAACAGTAACGGTACGAGACAAAAATCGTGCAGTGCAGAGAAAATTCTTCCAAAAAACGTGGCGCGTTTATATGCTGCGACGTCAATAGTAACCTAACCGGCCGTGGTGTAAATATCTTGTTATACAGCACGCTACACATACACATAATAGATGACCAATTTCAACATACACACGATTCTAACGCAATATTCCATTAATGCCGTTTATTGTATGATATACATTAATTTTCTAAATCTTCGGACACTATTGGAGGTCTTCAATATTACCAGCCTAGTAACTGCCTATAGCATAAAAGATGACATTTCCGAGTATTGAAAATATTGAAATATCATCATGTGTATAAGAATTAATCAATCAGCTTTAAAGTGCTCTCAGTTCATAAAGAATATTAAGTGCTTAATTGATAGATTGACTGATGTATTCTGAGTATAATAAAATATGTTGCAACATTATTAAAACTAGTAATAACAAGTTAATTTCTGCTTTTGGTTCGTATCCTTCGTACAGAAAATATAAAGCATATATTATAGAAATTTTAATAAAAATGAAAAGGCATGACAAGATCTTACAATAATATGATAATTAGAGAATAGGGTTCATATTTATATTTTACTCTGTGAATGTAACTATAATACAATTATTAATTTAGTCATTATTAATTTTCCCGCCCCAACTTAGAACAGACCTACCTACAGAATTATATACCAAATATTTCTCTAAAAATACTCTGTTAAAATTACTCATAATAAAAACGCATGAAAATCTGATGACAGAGGCAGCAGGCGACATATTTTATAATATATACAGATAAATTCTTCTTGGTATTTAAAAAGCTCATAATAAGTTTATTTTAAGATCTAAAAATAAAACTTAATAAACAAAGGAAAACTAGTGTTTTCCATTATAAAAAATGTAGGTCTGACATTCAAATAGCGTATTATTTCATAAATTTAATCAGATGAACATTCTGTGTTTTTTATTCCTAGTTTACTTAAATCCGAAAATACAGTAAACCTATACATAGAATGTTTATTATATTGCCGACCTACGGAAGATGTGACATACAATAATAAAGCCCATCCAGTTCAGAGATGTAAATACTATCTTCGCAAGAACGTTTATTTAACAAATAAAATTCCCAGTGCCAGTAAAACCACAACATGCGTTTGTGTTATCTACCGGAAACGTCATACACACAAAACAAAAATAGACTAGCCAGGGTCTCGTGCGAAACTTCCGCGTGGTTTTGCATTAAGGAAGCAAACCGGTGCGACAACAGTACATCAGAGTATCGTCAAGTTTACTCACTGGATGGACACATTGACAAAGCGCATAAGCAGGACGGGAAGGACAATGACATTAGCATTTGAAGGAAGAGCTTGCGTCACACAAGCGTGGAACAATGACGCGACGACAATCGAACACGCATGGCAAGATGGCCGCCGCGGCGTCAGCTGATTGCGCACACGCAGCGCAGCTGTATGGGTCCACCGCTTAAACATATTGCTCTCTCTTTCGTTCGTGAAAGATTTACACAATGTATGAAGTAGCATTGTTTGTAACACAATGCTTGCTAGACACTTTGCTGACTACTAGTGGGTATGTTGCACATTTAATTGAGTAGGTTTGCACCCAACTCCTACGAGAATATGTGAAAAAAACGTAACAGGTAGAATTTTGAACCCAAAACGATGCGAAATATTTATTCTACCAAAGTTGATTCGGAGCCGACGCCAAACAAAAACAAGTTTCTGTATTTATAGAATTCCTACCTAGTTTCGATAAATAACTGTTTTGTTTTACAATAACAATGCGCAGTTGTACCACTTTAAAGACAATGATAATGGAATTACGTATGTTTAACATGAACAACGAAGTAATAGAATTAACATTCTGATATTAGCAATAAAAATATATATTTTATTTAACTCATATTTAGTCATATGTTGCAGTATTATTTATATAAACTAAATCTTTTCAAAAATACATTTTAAGTTTTCTGTAAAAGAGTGTTACTCAATTAAATTGACTTATTTTTTATCAAACTTAACACAAACATTAGTGTCACAAAATTTATTTAATAACTATAGTCAGATGCTATGTAATTTACTATTAGCAAATTCGATTTTTTATTGCAAATTTAAGTAGGTACATTTGTTATTTACGTTACACGCTAGAAGAATACTTGCATGCAACATGTTTATGAAATCACCAATAACCTTACAATATTAAAACTAAAAGAATATATATTTTTTATATTACATATATAGATTTTTTAATATATCAATACTAAGTAAATTATCACCACGCAAGCACTCGTTTGTTACCCTGTATAATAATAAGTACAAATAACCTCTAAGTGTCTGATTGCAGACAGTATTAACGTGGACCTCAATAACGTGATAAGCTGATAAACAACAAATCAGCAAAATACAAACCAGTTATGAATTAATATTGTGTTCGACTATATTATCAATAGCACTCAATGTTAGGAATGACGCCAGCTAGCTATGGCATCATTAGGCTTGGTTTTCAGTTGCCAATTAGATTCGAATTAGAAATTAAATATTCTTTGCGAGTTTTTTTTAACCTTTAGGTATAAATTGTATGCAATTTGGAACACCCAAAGGTATGAAAGTTTCAAGCACGTGAGGACATTGACCTTCTGGCATCAAGGTCGATGCGGCGGCCTTCAAACAGCCTCGTCTAGCTGCTTCGCAGGCTCCTCTCGGACGAGTAACGTAGACATAAAAACGGCACACACTTAACTACAGAAAAATATTACCTTCGAACGGAAATGCGAGCCCATGGCCACTCAGAAACAACGCTTAATAGCGCTCCGCAGTTAAATGATCCAAATGTAAACCACATGTAATCCGAAAAGAGGTAAAATACACTAATTTGCACTTATATCAGAACAGATAAGGTGCATTAGTCGCACAATGACAATCACTATTACTATATTGTATCGAATATCGGCCTCGCTGTGGCGAGCTCCGAACCGTTCGGCGTGCTATCGAGAACTGTCTGTACTCTGTACACCACAACCGTACCGTAATGCCGGAGTGCCCGCCCGACTCGAACGGAGAAGGCAGGCCAGCCAGGCACCGGTCTCGCCGCCCGCAACTATTCGCGTCAGCGTGGCACTTCGTTCCACACGCACACGCACTAACCAATACAAACAAGCCAATGCTTGATGCTCGCAAACTGATAAACACATGCGCGACTAGGCCACTCATCTCCACATACACAACAGAGAATACCACAGTAATATCAATACGTACATTGATTAGCACAAACTGCTCACAAACACTTGTATTTGAACCACGTGATTTCAAATCTAAAGTTAAAGAAACTAGATAATTATGCATTAAAATGCACTTCGTAATTAAAAATCACACAGATACAGCGCCAACTTTATTCTAATTTAGTGTCTTGTCATCATTTAGGAAAAGGTTATTTCTCCAAAATCTCGCATATTATAGGTATCCATAAGATAGTAAATAACAGGGGACTGTAAGACAACCATTAATGAACGTCACTATGTTTAAATCTAAATTAAATGAGACTAGAAATATAAGCTTAGTATTTAGAAATCATTGGATAAGGACCGGGGTTTTCCAATTTTCTATTATGGTGCGGATAACTTAATATCAGCTAAGTAAATTGTAAGAAAGCTGGGTGTCAATGATCTAGAGGGATTACTGCTGGGGACGAAAGTTAAGAATACCTTGCAATACGCTCATAATCACTAATTTAATAGTCACAGAAATCAATATAAGGGAATGATAATTGTTGAATATTCAAATACTAAGTCTTAAGGATTTTGGTCTATATAACGAAAAGAAAAGTATGGAATGCCTAATTATCAAGGTTCAATAGAAGGTAAACGTTCTCGGGGTCGATCACTGATCTGATTATGATTAATATGGCTACACATCAGTCTATTTTGGAATGTTCTCTCACATTCGAATAACTGAAATCAATAACAGTATCCAGATATAATAGTGACGAAAACTACTAGTCATTCTAAGTGCACGCCTAAAGAAATTAAATAATTACAAATTCCTTGTACGTTCTAATGTAACATGCCATTCATGCAAAATTGTATCGGATATTTTTTTTTTTGCCTTCACAAGATCCGATAGCTGTTTATCATCTGCGTAACTAAAAGAAATTATTCCGTTTCAGAACAGATTTGTACTAGTAGATATGTAGTAGCTGTTGTACGCTTATCTAGAACTTCTAAAGCTTAAAAAAAAGGATAGAAGAAAATTGGTGGACATCGCGACATTCAATGGTGTTCAAAGGACGTCAATGGAATCAATCAAGGGATGCGGTTCCCAAAATTTACACTACTATTGCTAAGTTACATTATTTTTTAATATATTTAGAGCAAGAAAGAAATTAAGAGGTATTAAAACGTACAATGAAAGTGAAACTGCATGACTTCAGAACAAATACATTCGTTCACTCTCACACGAATGACCAGCTTGCTAACTTCATCACGACAAAACAGAAGATATGTCTGATTATATTCCTCAAGCCAAGTCAAATTAAAATATAACAGAAAATTAAAATAATATACATATACTTGTTTGCCATCAACGGTAAAAAACAAATTAAGAATATGGACCACAGTCTATTCTTTATTAACTTCGGAACGATAAACAGCATAGTTAAGTACCTAATGTAATGTATAAGTTATTATTATCTTAATTTGTTATATATATATATACATATTGAATATTGTTCAAACCGATACTAAAGAACAAAAGTAATGACAATACCAAGTGTAGCATGTTCGTGTTGATACACAACTTTCGTTTCGACGCCTTTCTTCCACAGCACGCTGATACTAGAAACACTCGAATCTTCGATAATTATCGAATATGTAATAGATTTTTCACACGTGATATTAAAAGATCTCGAGTTCTGAATACGATACATTTTTAATTCATGTCGTTGAATAATTCGTCACAGATATTTGAATAACAGATAAATTTTTCGAAATCAAAAGTACAATGCACTCTCCAAGATGAAAGTGAAAACTAAGGTCACTATTCGAATATAAAAGGTCATTCAACTTAGAATAAACAACCACTGTTAGAATTTCTATGAATCTCGAGAAAAGCTGCGGAAAAAAGTCGTGTTTTAAAATTTCCACTAAGCGCCTAATATGTTTGTTTTCAATAACAATAACTGTAGATTGTGTCACATAAAGGTCATGACAATGTAGTATACAAACAAAGCCATGTGTACGTGAACGAGCGTGAATATAGTGCGACGGCAACACAGCGGCGACGGTGTCGGTGGCGATGGACGCAGACAAAGCCACGGGCAACGACGCGAGTCGTCGATCTCCCCCGAATTAGTCCTGGGCCGGGGCCGCTGACCTCCAGTACGCCCGCTGCCGCCGTGCCACTGTCGCGCCGCACGCCGTCTCTTCATAATTCCTCGCCCTACAAACTAGTCTACACACCGCTACAATACCACCCCTACGAAATGATACACAGCCTCACAAATGGAATCAGTAATAACGAAAATTTGTGTAAACAAACCATGACTAACATACGACTTAAGAACAAAGAGCAAGAGGTTTAGACAAAGACGTATAAACAAGATTCACGTAAGGTCAATGAAATAAAACCACGTGGAATACGAACTGACAACGCACTGGCGCAAGACCGGCGCATTAACAAGAGATCACGTGTTTTCATGTGCGTTTCAGAGGAGCGCTCGACTTGGCACCGAAAATCCTCATAGACCAAAGTTATTTTAACAAAGATCATTGTCGTCTTTATCTTGCTTAATCATTATCGTTAAAATTTTAACGTTATCATTGTTTATTGTTCTTTTAGCGTACATAACCATTAAGGAAATATTTTTTTAATAATACATCATTTAAGAATTTGATATATAACACAAACATACTTTAAGAAATGTGTGGTTAAATATATACGAGGCAATTCTTTAAAAGCGTTAACTACTAAAAACAATAACGCAAATATAAACTATAACTGCGCATCTATAATATATCTATATACGCCTAAACACTATTTTATTTGCTCTTTGCGCGCAAACAAAGTTATTATTCTGTGACTTAGCACTTACCTGATATTGGAAAAGCGAATTCCGTACCAGACAAATGTCTTTCCAAGTGCGCAGTCCCTTCAGCTCACAACCGGGCGACACCACGTCTGTGCGGTTGAGGTCAGCATCCACCGGCATCACAATGAATGGTTACACTACCTGTGCCAACAAAGCTCATGTTTACACGTGTAACAAATACTATCTAGATTAAACAGTTTACAAGTAAATTCTTAAATTAACAAAGAATCATATTCTAAACTTGTTTACGTTAAGGCTAAGCATGGAAAGGAAGCTTGACATGATGAATTTAATTTTCATTGTCTCTAATGATATTGGGCCTAACATGTATATATAAAATTCTAAATGTATGTGCTTTTTCTATCCAACACCAAAATATTCCACGTTTTTAAGGATTGACAAGAAATATAGGTTTCTAAAGAGCATGTGGTTAAAATATACTATCTAATCTTATTCCTTCCATGTTGTAAATGGGAATGCTGATAGCAGAGATGATTATCATCCTGTTTTATTAATAATATAATATATTAAAAAAGATAATAACTTTCTTTATTAAAATAAAACCTCATCACCCTATTTATTTTATTTTTCCCAGTCAACATCTGTTTGGCATCATATCTGTAACTTGGCGTTCATTTGGAACATGAGTTAGGATCTGCATGTTGTATTTATGGATATTGCTTATCACCATCTAATGCCTACGTAACCAACTCAGTGTTAGTTTGAGAAACGAATTGCATTTGTGACGGCGTATATTTGTGACGAACTGCATTTGTGACAAATTCCATGTATAAAGAACTACATATTATGACCTAATGCGTACATAAGCAAGGCATGTGTGACATGGCGTGTGTAATCCATATATAAGCGGTAAGTATGGTCAATGCGTCAAATCTAACCTTATATTTTCAAACAGTGAAATCCCCATCAAAAACGGGTTAGTAGTTTTTTCATAATGCTGAAACAAATAGAAATTCAAATCTAAAACTGAGTCTGAATACAAAATTTTGATATTTCTAACCTCACACAAATTAGTAATCTTACAGTATGCATTACTATTCGGGGACCAGTCTGTGATACAAGGATGGTTCAGAACCAAATCGAAACAGACAGATCAAGTACTGATAGTGTCTGTGCATACTATACATAGACTATAATCCACGAGCTTTATGGAAGGACAGCTGTTATTTAACAGTTTTTTTTTACAAATTAATTTTAATGGTCATATTACCAGAATATAATTATGAAATACAGTAGAAAAAGTGAGATACATTTATTATAGAATACATAATAGATGTATTTCAATAATCTGCTATATATCAAATATATAGTCCCTGACTATATTTAGTAAAATTTATTATATACAGAGAGTCCATATCTAGTGATGTCATTGAGATTGGGATTTTTTTACAAATTCCCTATAGCATTAAATACATAATTCGTTTTATGATGAGCTAATGGGAAAACCTTTATGTTTCATAATAAAAATGATTTTATAATATTTTCCAGATTTATCCATTGGCATAATTAGTTATTAATTATCTCTTAAATGTGTATATAAAACAGAGATAATAAAATTTAACTAGGTAAGTGTTATTGTGGTAATTGATTTGATTGCTTGATTCATTGAAGATACATTAGCAATGATACTGTAGTGCAACAGTAATATTCTAATAAGAAAATTATTGTATGATGAGTGCTAAATGCATAAAATAGAGTAATATGCATATTACATAATATAAAATTTATCTTTCAACAATATAAAAGTTTGAATTTATGACTATTTAAATAATCTCCAGAATTACTCTACTTATCTGAATCATTGTTTTCAATTTTTGGAATGTACAGTTATTGAAAGTTTTTGATAGTATTCATAGACAGGACATGGACAAAGAATCTTTTAATTAATAACTTTAACTTTGGTAATACTACACAAATGCATTTGACAAATAAGTTAGCTATTATCATAGAAGCATTTCAAGGGTAATTCAATTTCTAGGTATTATTAAATAAATCAAATAAACATGCAAATGTGACACTTCAATTATCAAGATCCAATGGGATATTTATATCAAATTAAAATCATTTAAAATAATGTACAAGTTTAAATGAATAGATATAACTGACAACAGTTATATAAGAATTTAAATGAAAAACATAATTTCAATATTGTTGTAAATAAAATAATATAACCCAACAGCTCTAATATAAATAGAAATCTTAATTAAATGTAGATAATTATGATTAAAATTAAATAGCTACATCACTATAGGTCATATAATTATATACCAGTGTAAGCCTGTTGCCATATTTACTGTCAACAGAGATTTGGGGTACACTGTATCATAGAAAAAACAGAGTAATGTGTCATATTGGTGCATGATATTTGGAACATTTTTCATTTGAACAAACATTCAGATTTATATAGCAAGAGAATATAAAAGTAGTCTTTAAAATATTATCATATATAAAATACACAAATCCATATACAAATATATACATTGATATAATTAAGAGGTCAGAAATAAAATGAACACTAATCCCAACATGAAAAACAACTACATAATGTTAACCTTTGTAAGAGTAATATAAAAAAAAACATGCTGATCACACAGAATACTCAAGTATGCCACATACAACCAACTTTCCATAGAAATAAACAACAATTTTGCTATAACTTTGCATTACACCATCATTACTGATGAGATCGAATCAAGTATGTAGTAATAAAAAATACCCACACACGCACAAACACACCATGCTGTAGTTTACTACAGGAAGTAGGCACTAGGACCAGTCTAGTCAATTTTTGAACAAAGTGTCTACAAATAGATGAGAAGGGTTCGATACTAATCAATTCGAAACAAAATCTGTTTATGAGTTTCATCTAAACAAAATGAACGTATTCTATGCACCTTTCAAGGTGGTGTCACGTAAAAAATGCGTATTGAAGTTATATTGGTATACTAAGTTTTGGGCCTGTGGTTTCCGACGTAACTATATTTATTAAGCCATAAACATGCAATAATGTCAAGAAATTAATAATTTTGCCTAGTCACATCTCTGTGTACAAAAGAAACAAAGAAAATATTGGAGAATACAGTAATTGGCATTCACGAAGAAAATGGCGTCATATCACTTATTCACGGAACAAGGTACAATTTCATCATATGAAAACACATAACACAATCACTTATTTACACAATAGAAACCAAATACATGCTGTATACATGATTTCCTTTATAAAAGTACTCACTTTGAATAAAAATTCCAAAGAAAATCATCCAAAAACTCAAAGGACTGATGACAAGGCACTCCACTCACCGTTTGCAAAACCAGACTGATATCACGTGACCAGAAGAGTTACTAGAATAAAAAAATAATAACTTCATGATAATACCTTATGACGAAACAGAAAAGGTCGGTATTCGAATAACAATAATTTAGTAAAAGTGTGATCACACTATGATATAAATATTTTTAAACGTTAATATTAACAAAAATAAAATATATATTACAGTAATAGAACAAGTAATAATGGTACAGGGGTTGTCAGTTATTTGTCACTTAGAAATTTCTATAAATATTATACATTGTTATTATTTTGTTGTTGTATGAATATACCAGCAATTAAAATATTTACTTAATATTTTATTTAAATAAAGTTTTGAAATGCATCATTTTATAAGTTTATTTACATTCTAATAAAAGGGTAATCTTTAAGAGAGTATGTTATATATTATAGTACAGACTAAGTAACTAATTTTTGGGGTAATATTTATAATTGTTTTAATTCATACATTATTTTTTATGTACTTTATTTTTTCACCTGTTACTACTGACTGAAGTGATTATTTATTCCATGCCACAAAGGGATATATAACCATAAAATTATTTTATACCATAATACAATGGCGCCCTCCGTCGGGATAATATATTAACAATAATACAATGTACTCAACAACTGATAAAAAAACTTGAATTCCTTTCTTTTAAATACATACATAACAAACCTACAAAATGTAAATTGGAGTCAATAAAATGTTATTATTATTGCTAATTAATTTGTTACATCTTGTTAAATTATTTTTAAGTATTGATTTTTATAACCAGATAGAATAGTCATTGTATTGTGGTGGGCATCCACAATACACTGACAAACCATTTTAACTCTATGACCTGTGATACTGATATTAACCATGTTTTACTGATATAGATATGATAGCGAAAGATATCCTTTAAGTACTATGGGTCTAGGTATTGGTAAATATTGTTTAAAATATAATTATTCTAAATACCAGTTTTTTAGAATAATTTATATTATACCCATAGACCCATTTAAATATTATAACTGTTTACATAGCTCATGATTTCAAATTCCTTGAGTGAAATAAAAGACCTGCATAGAATATAGTCATAATTGTACAAATATATTTTTCTACTGTCATTTATAATCAAACCAAGCTGGTACTGTAGTGTATATAGTAATACACTATACGCTGTTCCAATTCTAATAATCTGTGTATATTTTTAGATATATTGTACTGTGTAATTATTAGATAAGATGTCGTAACTAGTGATGGGCACGTACACAAATTTCAAGTTCGATTTATTAACTTTTTAAAAACACGGAGATAACGAAAAGAAGTTTTCTTGAAGAAACCGAAAACTTAATTATGTAAAGGTGTTACTAAGAATTCAAATAAAAATTAATGGGTTGGAGATATTGCTGCTTGCTGCTCAAGTTATGTCTGCCGATTAAAATTTCTTTATTTAATGAATAAAATATATTAATAGCATATTATATAACTTTCTACGGATGTGCAATTGCTTTTGAAAAGTGGAAAAGCTGATTTCCTCTCATCTCGCACTAGATTCCTAACTAACATGGAGGGATTTAACATTATCAATAAGTCTCAGTAATAGACCTACATTGATAAAGAAATTTAAATTTAAAGAAGAAATTTAATTTTGTGGTAGTGCCTACCTATGTGTACATACATATATACATATATGAAGTGTCGACTTTTTAGAAATTTGCATAAATCAAAAATTTCGGTTCCAATATTTTTTGTCCTGTTTTTAGATTTATCTCCCTATTAATATAATCGTTATATGTCCAACAAAGATGTTTTGTCCACTGTTTAGGTATATATGTATATAGCATAATAGCAGTTATGCGTTTTCTCATTAAAAAATAAAATTTATACTTTAAGATTAATTAGTTATTCATTATTATATTAGTTATATAACTTATATGTGTATAAATGTGGTGATCAGAGAGTAGGCAAATAAAAAGAAATGTGACGTGATCACGTGAGCATATGTGGGACCTAAAAATATCCATATTATGCATGGGTCACTAAAATAAGTTTTTTATGACAACAATAAGCAAACTGTAGTTTCAATTTCAAAGTTAATTCAATTCATTTTAGTAATAGGTTTTTGTAAAGCTTGTTAAAATAAAATATCCGTTTTATGCAACCACAGCACACCACTATTTATTTATCTGTGTATGATTAATTATTTATAATCTGTGATCATCTGTAGATTAATGGTATTGTCAACACTATTTGTCAACGTAGTTCTATCTGTGGTATTGTCTGTCAATTGTTCATTTAGTTCACGATTTACAGTTGTATTTTTTTTATTATTGAACTAGTTTTCGCAAATAATATTATAATTTTTAAGGAGAAAAGTAGAATAAAAAAAATGCCAACAATATCTGTAAAACGCGATTTGCTTTTCGAAGCTCTCGGCAGAACTTACAGTGAGATTTCATTTAATTTATTATATAGATGCAAAATTATTATTTTTTACTTTATTTTTAAGAAAAAATGTATATTTCAGCTGATGACGAGTTCCAGGATTTGTGTTTCGAATTCGGTCTAGAGTTAGATGAAGTTGTAAGTTTATTTTATTGTTATTATTTCATGTTGTACAGAAATACATAACCTCTATAATTGTTGATAATTTACTAACGCACTAGCGTTCCGCTCTTGCATCACATGGGCGTACACCGTACATAAAATTATTAAATATATGCATGTGTTAAATTCTGGAAAAGACAGTGTAAACTGTCTCAAAAGATGTTGCATGATTTTGTGAAATAAGACCAACTAAACCTTTTGTTATATTTTTTAGTTTGAGATTAAAAATTCCAATAAAATTATTATAATGTGTTGTATCTGTATACCAAATTAATTTATATTTCTATACAATCATAGATTTGTATAGAAATTGTCATAAATTCTAAATATTGTTAAAATTAAACAATATTGGGATTTATTAAACTTAAAATTATTTAAATTTTCAGACAACTGAAAAGCAGATGCTGATTAAAGAACAGGGAGATCAGGCAGGCACAGGTGTTTCAGAAGAAATACTTTATAGAATTGACATACCTGCCAATCGCTATGATTTACTATGTCTAGAGGGTCTAGTTGAAGGTATATTGGTCTTCCAGAATAAGTAAGTCATAATTTTATCTTAAAAATAAATAAAATCTATTTATTGCTTCATACATATTTAACAGAAAAAAATTATGTACATATAGATAGACATATGACCCATTACACAAATAATACAATTTTACAATGTTTATGTTATAGAAAGAGATTGTTATCATTAAAATAAATAATTATAACTTAATCATACATTTAATTGAAAGTACTGGAAATTCATAGCTCCCACCAATGAATGATATGCCACCACCATTCTGCACCCTACCTTTATATAAAATACTATAAATATATAAAATAAAAATTACCTCAGATGGCATCCTTGGTCTAGCAGTTTAGCACACCACTTCTGATAGTTGTGGGTTTGATTCCTCACATAGTGCAAATATTTGTATTCATAAGTATTAATATTTGTATTAGTTGGAGTGTTTTCTATGTATATTATGTATGTATTTACAAAAAACAAAATCTACGTATTTATATCAGTTCTCCAGTACCCATAACACAAGCCCAGCTTACCAGTAGGTTTTCTACCTACTTGTAAGTAATAAATAAAGCTTTGTAAAACAGATGGTATTAATATTATAAAATTTTTCAGGAAGGGTCCAGCTCAATACAAGCTTAAGAAATATGAAGACTGCTACTCATTACACCTGACTCCTGCTACTGCACAGATCAGGCCTTATGCTGTAGCTGCTGTCCTTAAGGGCATTACCTTCACAAAAGACTCATATGACAGTTTCATAGATTTACAGGTAAAGTCTAGTTTTACTCTACAAAAAATATAAATAGGTTAACATTCTACATGATGAAAAGTTGTAACCACTTCTTAGAGACAGAACAAACGATAGACCTATAGGATTTCAACATTTGTAGATATTAAGATATATTTCTTGGGTTCGCATGGATCCATTTTTTTAATATAATGCTGTTTGCTGATAAAATGTGTTAATGAAACTTTTTTTTAAATCCATCCATTTAAAATTTAATTATTAAAAACAGAAAATGTTCTCTCCTTTTAAGATTAGTTTTTACATGGTTCCAATGTGTTAAATTTATAATTGTAAAAGTTATTAGATTAAAAAATAAATATACATATGTGCATTATGTATAAAATATCCTCAAAATGGCTACAAAGTCGTTGTTATGAATGATTAAAACATTATAAAAAAAAACATACTATTTTATATAGCACTATCTCTGACATATCGTAATACTGTGATTCTTTACATCATAGAAAATGGTAGGCTAGAATGCAGGTTATTTCTTAACTATATTTTTATATCTAAAAAAATGATTATGTTTATTTCTTAGAAGAGCTTACCAGGTTTTAAACAGTTATCAGCACAATGTATCAGTGCTATCAGGAAATATAGGTACATATTTATCTATGTATACATATAAAAATAGAATCACAGTATGAGTAAATAATGTCAAACAGTAAACAAAATTAAACAGGTATAGTAATAATCAGAAATAAAAACCAGTTTCAATCATTGATAACCAGGCTACAGTGTCTTTTATTAACGAGTTTAGGTCTATCAGCCTTTTGACATTGTCATTATCATCGGATGATAGAGCGGAAAGGTTAACCATTCACTTGAAATATTCCAAAGATTATAAATCCCAAATTATAGTCAACAAATACGAAATATTGTTATGATAACATAAGAAGACATACATGCATACATACATCACTATTATACAGAGTATTGTATAATATTGATGAAAATAAACCAGTAGGTAGTATAAAAAAAATTTTGACCTTTTAAATACCCATTGCTTTATAGAATATCAATAACAAATACTTTAAGAATGAGTAGGTTAAACACAAAAGCTATCAGATGTACAATTATGAAATTTGCTTGGTTCAATAATGACTCACAATAGACCTCATAAAAAATAATAGGCATTTTCTTTATCAAATTGTTTAATTTTAAAATGTGTATTAGATATCAATAGATTGAAATAACTGATTAACTCTCTGATGAGGGAAAATATCTTTAACAAATCAAATTTATGCTCTCCCTGGGACAGTAAGCGCTTTTCAAAAACAACAAATATCTCATTCTTACAGGACAAACTGCATCAAAACATTTGCAGGAAGAGAACATTAGTAGCTATTGGTACACACGATTTGGACACCATTAAAGGACCCTTTGTTTATGACGCCCTGCCACCAAATCAAATCAAATTCCAAGCATTAAACCAAAAGAAAGAAATGACGGCACCAGAACTTATGGAATTATATTCGGTATGTTACATATTTTTTATTATTAATTGTGTTATAATTATCATTATAATATATTGAAATACAACATGATAATATGAGTACTTTTGAACAGTGATTTTTATCCTACCATTCATTTGAAATGCAGACTCATCACATATGTTATTTATTTTCTATTGATCATAATCAATATTTATTTCAGACCCATGCGCAATTAAAACAATATTTGGGAATTATAAGGGATAGCCCAGTTTATCCTATAATTAAGGATAAAGACGGCATAGTATTGTCAATGCCGCCTATCATCAATGGAGACCATTCCAAAATTACATTGAACACCAAGAATGTCTTCATAGAATGCACGGCCACTGATCTAACTAAGGTATCCTTTGTTTAATTTGTTAACTTTATTCTAGTCTTGGTAGGGCACTAAGTAATATCGATATTACTTAGTGCCTATCGAGAGTAGGCTTTAGAACAGAAATAGAGTGTCGGAGTTTGTTTCAGTTTAGTCTACCATTTTATAATAAGTAGTCCTCTTGTACTTATTACTAATATTATAAATTGAGATCGAATTTTCTATGCACTATCTTTCTCTTGTGAAAGTCGATTTGCGAGTAAAAGGGTATGGGTGTAAACGCAACAATTCTATCACAGTTTGAAAGGTAAATTATTCTAGAGTGGCTTATAGTAGGATATATATTCAATAAATGTATCACACACTTAATACAAAACTTCATTAACTCACAGTAATATCAAATTAATTAGAGTTAATAATTTAGGCGTGCTATATACATTATTTTTTAACTAGATTTTAAAGTTATGACTTAAAGTTAATGCATAATACAGCCATATAAAAATCTCACAGTTATCAGCACTGAGGCGAAGCCAGGATGAACAACTTGATACTGACTCAAGCAAATTTAAAATTCAATTTCGCAATTCTTCTTAAATATACAAATCATACAATTACTTAACATGTAATTTTACTCTAAATCTTACATTTAAATAATATCTAAAATATATTGAATATTTTATTTAGTTTTTTCTTTTTTGCATATTTTCCAGGCTATCGTAGTACTAGATACACTGGTGTGTATGTTCTCCAAATATTGCACCAACCAGTACGAGGTGCAGCAGTGTAAGGTATACGGCCCAGACGGTACCTACGAACTATACCCAAAACTAGAATATAGAGAGGAATTAATAAATGTCGATAAAGCAAATAATTATATTGGAATCACGTAAGTCAAATAATTTATTTTCGACTAGTTGTGTTCCAATAGGGGCGGACTAAGATCTATGCAACCTAGGCACGTGTCTGGGTCCGTAATTTTTGAAACCACCACACGCAAAGAGTTTGTCATGACTAAAAAATAGGGCCGGAATTACAATTAGTCCGCCACTGAATTGGACTAACAATTTGTTTTACTCACCTATTTCAGCCGCCATGCAACTTATTTTGTAAAATGTATTTTCTTTGAGGAGTGATATATGCTATAAGCCAAGAGTAGCTTGCCTGGGTGCTTCAGACGATGATGCGATGTCCGCAGCTTGCCGTCGGCTTATTTACCATTCCAATGTCATAAAAAAACCATATTTACTTACAACATGTAGTATAGTTTTTTAATGTTTAGTGTACAGACTTGACTCAGACTGTAAAAACTTATCTACGTGTTACCGGATTCTCACTGGTTTCAAGCAATTTGCTTTGTAAGTTGTATTTCGACATAACTGTTACTCAGCAACAAGAACACTAATTTTAAATGTGATGGATTTATTTATTCTTTATTGCACTATTTAAAAAAATCCACTTGGCAAGCTTTGTGCCATATGGTATTCTACTCTACCAGCTTTATTCTACAACCGATGTGCCTAATATTTGTTGCTTGTTTATTTCATGTATCGAATAAACATATATTATTATCTCTTTCTATTTTACTAGTGCGGAAGGCGACGAGTTGGCAGAACTGCTATCGCGCATGTGCCTCCCTACGCAGCTGGCGGAGTCTGTGCTGCAGGTGCAGGTTCCACCCACGAGGCATGACATCATACATGCCTGCGATCTCTATGAAGACATTGCTATCGCTTACGGGTATGTTTTATCTCTTTCTTTCCTACTCGTCAGGTACAGGTGTTTTGAAGGCATTCGCATTTTTGTAAGAAGTATTTTAATTTTTGTCTATTTATTGTAGATTATATTAGAAACATGAACATAATCTTTACATTGTATAAAATGAAATCGCTGTCAGTTCCCGATCTTATGAACTACGCACGATTACAATTTTAGGTTTACGTACTATTTTAAAAAGAGTATATTAAAGTTTCTTACGGATCAGTAACGCGCACGTGACACCCCTGGGTCTGGGGTGTCCATAGGCTACGGTAACGGTACGGTATGGTAATTTGCTGTAGTAATTAGATGAGCTTATATGCTTGTTTATCATCATCATAGTATAAAATAAATTAATGCAGTTTTGAGCAATAGATAGAATGATTCAAGAGGAATATGTATAATACATGTAAACCCATGCGAAGCCGGGACGGGTAGCTAGTATTATATAAAAATTTGCACACCTATATGCAGGCTGAAATCACTGGACATTATATTTTATGTTGTTAAAACCAATAAGCACTGTATTCTGCAAATAATCATAAATTTTATTTGACTTGTTTCGTGATGAAATTGATTCAGTTTAATTTGTACGTGGTTTTACGCCTAAACTAAGTAGGCAACGTCGCAGGACATAGTTAATACACAATATGGTTGTAATGTATATGCTTTAGGAATTATAATAAATAATAATAATTACCAAGGACACATACGGCGCAACCTAGTCCCAAGCTGAGCAGAGCTTGTGTTTTTTTATGGATAATAATGATATAAATACAACAAATTAATTGATGAAGAATTTTGTGATTACAGCTACAATCGTATACCCCGGCGCCCGACGCTGGTGGTGACGGAGGGCTCTCAAACCCCACTTAGCAAGCTGACCGAGCAACTGCGGATCGAATGCGCACATGCTGGGTACACGGAAGCGCTTACATTCACACTGGTCAGTAAGAATAAATAAATAAATAAATAATCCTGGACAACTTACACAGCACCATCACTACCCAGTAAGCAGAATTTGTGTTATGGGTACTCGACAAATGATATTAAAACTTAGATTTTTTATTTTTGTAAATACATATACATAATATATATAGAAAACACCCAGATCGATTCAAACAATCATACTTATGAATACAAATGTTTGCACCATGCGAGGAATCGAACCCGCGACTATCGGAAGTAAAGAAGTGTGTAACATTGCTACACCATTGAGGCCGTCAATATAATAATTAATCGCCGTAATAATAATCTTTATTCACAAATATATTAGTATAATTTAATAAATTTTACCCTGGAATATATAAACCTGTACCACGAAAGCCAGAGTAATGGGACAGGAGTAGGTACTTTTTTTTTCAATTGGATGATAATGGTATGATGCACTTGCCTGCGCTGACGGTATATGTTGGCGAAACGGTTGGTTGACGGGACAGCAGTGGAGGATGAAAAGATGAGTATGGGGTCAGGTCAGTTAGCCCATCCGGGCAAATTCACCAGGAATTTAACATAATGGTTTCTAGGGGGAACCGCGTGGAGGTCAACGTGACATAGTTAATTGCTAGGAAAAGGGTTATTGATTCACATTACTAACAATCTCCTTTCTCCCCATAATAGGTACATTTGTAAATCTATATAGGCGAAAGTAATTTGTCTGATTTTGCATTACAGTGCTCACGAGATGATGTATCAACGAAACTGGGGTTGAAGATCGAGGATGTACCAGCTGCTCATATCTCCAACCCTAAGACACTGGAGTTCCAAGTAGTGCGAACTGTCTTGTTGCCCGGTCTACTGAAAACACTAGCATCCAACAAGAAAATGCCCCTGCCATTAAAACTGTTCGAGATAAGTGACGTGGTGCTGCTTGATAAGACTGCCGGTTAGTTTTTTTTTATGGATTATAATGGAATGGTGCACCCATCTGCATAGCAGTTTGATGGAGAAACGACATACATTGGGTTGAAGGTAATAACTGGAAGAGAAGGGCTGAAGATCGTGCCTTGGGAGAGGCCCAGCAGTGAACTGCAGTAGGCTGATGATGATGATGACTATCTGCGCTAACAGTTTACGTTGGCGGGGACACCAGTAGGAGATGACAAGATTAGCATGAGTCAGTTAGCCCATCGTGACAAATTCACCAGGAATTGGTCACGACGGTTTCCAGAGGTGGAGGTCAACCTGACATGGTACAAACAAAATACAATACAAATACAGTATGAAAATAAAACCGTGTAAGTAATGCAGTGTGTGTGTTACTAATGTTACATTATTAACAATTCCCTTCTCGTCTGGCGGTTAGTTTATACTAGTTGAAACCAACTTCATGTACAACCTATGTAGTACATCAAGTAGGCCAACCATAAAAAACGTCGCAGGTTAGGGGAGGTGGCGACAGTGTAACATCGTGTGAGAAATAATAATAATAAAAAAAAATCAATGGAAAACATGTACAGGATAATTTTTAAAAAAAGTAGGCCAAAAGGCTGTCCCCACAAAGGAAGCTGCAGATATTATTATAGGTAAATAAAAAAAAACAACGTGTGACAATCTCCCAAAAATGTGACCAACAGTGAATGAAAAAGCCGTATAATTCGTGTGCGTAACTTATGGATGGTTCCAAGCTAATATTAGGCTGTTTATAAATCATGTTGATTTACATGAATCATTATACGATTCATCTCATGACTCGCAACGTTATCTGAGATTGAAATACCATAATAATGAGTACATGATCAGAAAGAGGTACAAGTTTTTTTTAGGGAAACAATGTTTTCAATCATAATATGACAGTCTCGGTGGTGTAACGGTTTAGCATACTGCCTTACTTACGATGTTCTAGAGTTCAACACCTTGCAGGCTACAAGCATTTGTAATCACAAGTATGATTGTATAGTTCTTGTATACTATCAATTTACAAAAAAAAAATTTTTATATCCGGTGTCTAGTACCCATATTGCTTTGAGACTGGCGATGTGTGAATTGTTCTGAGTCATTATCATGTGCGTAGCCACAGATGGGACAGAATGGGACGCTTGCCCCAACCTGCCAAAAAATTAAGTTATCTAAGTACTAATTACGATACTTAATATCCGTAAGAAAGTTCAAACTCGACAGTTGATACAAAAAATACCATACAGATACAGGATGCAGCCGTTTTGTATGAAAAAATTAATCGGGGGGGTGTTGTTTGCTAGTTACATAATATTTTAGACTGCTGCCCCACCCTGCGTTGCCACACCCATGGTTATTATTATTGTTATACATTCATTTACAAATTACTATAAATGTCAGCGGCTTTACAGAAGTATAGTATTAAAATTTATATGTAGTCTAGTTTTAATCCTAGTGTAACTAAACAGAAACGGGGGCACGCAACTGTCGGCGTGTTTGCGCGGTACACTGCGGTCGGGCGGCCGGGTTCCAGTTCGTGCACGGTCTTCTCGATCGCCTCATGTTGCTGCTACGTTGCAACTGGCGGTCTACTGGCCCACACGGATACTCACTGCGGCAGACCGACGGTAAATTCTGAAGACCTCATTAATGACCTGAAGGTCACCACCACCAGCTTTAGAAAAGAGGAGATTCTATATTAAATTGTATTTTTTGTCTTTTTTTCACGTGAAATTAGAATGGGAGAGATTTTAACGGCTCTTCTGATTTTGAAATTATCCCTGTATTTATATCAGTTGTCTAGTACACTTAACACAAGCTCTGCTTACCTTGGGACTAGGTGACATTTATTTATTTAATAGGCGGGCTTAATGCTCTTCTCTACCAGCTATTAGTATTCTCTACCATCAACGTTAGGGAGTGCAGAGATAGCTCGAAGGCGGTTTAGTTACATTGTGTGAATTATCCAGGGATATTATTACTAGCTGATCCCGCAAACGTTGTTTTGCCGTATAAACTAAAATCCCTATTAAAATTAGGGGCTAGCGATAGAAGGGTGAATATTTAGCACTACCCCTATGTTGCCCCGCTTTTTCATAAATGTGATAATGAGCGGACCATTTTATAGTCCTCCTCAAATAACAGATATTTTATTCATATTATAAACGCGAAAGTTTATATGATGCTTTATACATCAGAATAACATATAGACTATAAATTTGCGGGTGAAACCGCGGGCACAGCTACTTAATACATATGTTACCATAATCTGATGCATTGCCATTCCAGAGGACTGAGATATCATACCTGTTATTCTTAAATTTCATTGTATCGCAATATATTCGTCAACTTGTACCTGTCTTTATGATATTTCTACGAGTTTACTCTCGTGTTGGTTCTATGCGATTTATAGATGCGGTTATAGAAACTTAGCGGTTCTTAGTAATGGAGTTTTAAATGAAATTTATTTGTAATCTGTAGATCCCGCCTATTTCCCCGGACGTTGTGCAGAAGTCGTAATGGGCGGAGAAGTTATTGGAAAAATAGGAGTGATCCATCCAAACGTGCTGGCGGCCTTCGACCTAACCAACCCCTGTTCAGCAGTCGAAATAAATATAGAGCCATTCCTATAAAGTGTATAAGAGCTAATAATAAAAATATTTATTTATTTTCACATTTTATATAGGCGTACGAGTAACTCGTATCTTAAGACACAAATAAATCAGTTATAAAAATATGACTTATTATTTTGTCCAATTTCGCGTGAGTATCTCCGTGGCATCAGTAGCTTTTCCATATATTAATGCAATTTATTTAAGCCTGATAACTAATCCTTGATAGTGATAGGTATGGTAAATTCTCACTTATTTGAGATTTCATCAATAGGAATATGCATTCATAGATAACAAGAGATTGTTTTGTATTTCAAGAAGTTCAAGAGTAGACCGACCGTAACTAACTTGTATAATACTGGTGAAAATATGAAATAGTAATTATTGCCAAACATTTCAATTCTCTTTATTACATTGCCAGGAGCCACGGTTATGTAATTTGTACTTAAGTGGTATAAAATAATAGAATCATTGACTAATAAATATATAAAAATATTGCTGAAAATATTTATTGAACGTTTCATAAAAAAAGAGCACAAACAATTATATTAAGACTATTAATCACATTTATTTTATATGCATACCTACTTAATATTAAGTAGACTAAAGGTGTAACATACATTCAGCAATCTCCATTTTTATCACATCATAAGATTAAATGTCATATAAATTTTTTTTATAGTCACTTTCATCTTTTTAGACCATGTTACTTCATTGCCGTTTCTCGTTAAACAATATTCACTAACTAAATTTTGCCAAAAAATTATGTTAATATGAATAAGTAATTATTTACGATAATTTATAGGATATAATTTATTCGAGTATCCAAAATTGTTTATTGTTGATAAGGCACATCTATTTTAATTGACTAAGTTACTACTTAAACATCAACAGCAAACACAGTAATAATCATCTTGTTTTGTATTTAAGCCCTAAAGATAGGCAGAATATAAATTATATTATATTAAAGCATTTTATATTACTATTTTTCTAAATAATGTTCTTCAGTAATATATTATTACTACAGACAACTCTGCTTTAAATGGTGACATAATTGCTAAAGATTTTTAAAAAATTATCTTGTAGGTGAAACCTAATATTTAAATTAACAATTCAATGGACCTGAAGAAACCGATTAGAATACATAATATCAATAAGTGAATAATTTTGTATAATATTTTTATATAATAAGTATATTAAGATCTATAAAAGTGGGTACTTTAAGTATCTGTCTTCCTACAGTGTGGAAGATGTACTAACATTTAAAAATACTGATTCTAAATACTTATTAGTTGACACATTCACAACACAACCTACATACTAAAATTAATAGTATCTATTAATTTAAAATAAATTTATCAATTTTTTAAATACTTTTTGTCATGGAGTTATACACAATCATTTTATATTTCGCTAATTGAAATAATATTGTGATATTAAGAAGAATTTATAATAATATTATTAAATTTATAAATTCTCCTTAGTGTAATATTCTATGAAATAGTTTATTCATGCAGTAATTTATTTTATATGTAACATAATTTTCTCAGAATAATTATCAATATGAAATTGATTTATAATTTAGAATAGAGTTAATGATCAAATTTTCATTGAGTTTTTCAATAATATTATAAATTGCTACTTATAATCAGGCACTATTTCATTAAAATTTAGATGTCATGAACTGTTCAACTACTTTTTAAACTAATAATTATAAAGCTAAATAATGTGTGTGCTTATATGTAATTTATTTAATATACACATATTACTATAATTTGATTTAAAGGCAATCACACATTGAACTGTTACATTCAGGTGGCGGACGGATGTCAAGCTGCTTCTTATTAACCAACTTCATAAACTATTTTACTTCAATCAAGTAATAATTGTATATCAAACATTTTTTCTAATTCAGATCTATTGAAATCAGGGGCTATAATAAAAGGACATAGATAGAATGAGAGTTCTTTAAGATTTGGCGCACTAGTCTTTATTACTTTTGCAACCTGCATAGTGATGTGCAAACATCTGGACAGACTCAAGTATGTCAAATTTTGAAAAGTGTTATTAGAAAAATAAGCAAGTAAAGCACTTGTAGAGAAATATCCATGACGCAGCTTTAGAGAATGTAAGTTTTTCAACCTATACAAGTGCAACAAACTGGAATCAAATAATGTTTTACAAGTCATGATATGGAGCACCTGTAGGAATTTGCAGCTGGCTATATATCTTATAATGTCATCATTCAATGTATCCCCATAAATATGCAATGCTCGTAAAGTGGACTGTTTAGTTTTCAATAATGATTCTAGAAAGTCTGCTGGAATATTTTTCATTTTCTCCATACTAATACTGACTAAATTTTTACATTCCAACATGCTGTACAAACTACTGTGTGTTAATGCAAAATTTGATAATACCAGAGTCTCCAGGTACCTCAATTTTTCAAATGGTAGATGGTATACAAAATTTCCATTAGCATTCTCTGGATTCTGTACAATCAGGGAGTTACGAAAACTCAAGAATTTTAAATTAGGCCAATGTCCGAGATCCTCAAAAATACAACTATCAACTTGTGAAATGCTAATTTCTAAATGAGTCAAATTTGGGCAGTAGCTTATTAGGGAAGACCTAACCTGAGAATACAACTTGAAATACTGTAATTTAACATTTTTTAAATACTTGGCGACAAAAGGCACAATACTTTCACTAATCCTGACATAGTTCTTCATACAGACTATAAGACGTGTGTTGTCCCAAACACATGGTGTGAGGCACAGTTGTTGCCATCTAATGCAGACTTTAGCCACCGTCAATAGTGATTCAAAGTCAATCATGGAAAATATATATATCAGTATTTCATTCGGCAGATCATTTATAGTAAGAATATTGCTGTTTAATTGAACACCTGTCATCTCGAGGTGCACCATGTTTGACGACAGTAGGCCACACTATGGTAGTTCTGCAACCAATAAATTAGAATAACTTCACTCCACACAGCACTAAACATTAATAGAAATCACAGAAAGTAACAGAGTTGTTAACTTCAAGGAGGTCATATGTAGTCAATTCATTATATTCGTGAAACAAGACAACCAATTAACTTTAAGGTCACGCTCCTTGGATGAAAAATGAATATTAATTTAATACATGTACATATTCATATTGGCATTATATGTGTATAGCAACATATATAATTACCTCGGAATTACCTTGCTTCCTAATCGAGATAATCGTAATGTTTGCTTTACAAGAATCATAATTTAAGTGAACTATAATAGAAATGGAGTTAGATGTTCACAATATAAAAATCAATCAAAAGCAATAATCTTCATTTGGGATTAAATATTCCATTCTAAAAATATTGAGAATGTTTAATAAATCAATTTTTATGCGAAACATTAAAAATAACTTTCATCTTGATACTATTTTTGTATGACGTTCGTTATTTGGTTACTTGACGTATTCTTGACATTAATGACATTATTAGAGTAGAGTTGCTAGATCGCTTTTGTGAATCCCTAAAACCATATCAAACAATTTTCTTATAATGTTAATATACTAAATAACACCAATGTTTTATAAGTAAACTGCTCAGAGTATATTCATACTGTATTGATTAATTAAATTTAAAATAACCAACAAGCCATTGTGAATTTCACCTTACTTGACAATTACGCTTACCCAACGTACATATATATTTAGTATATGTCATGATTACATTAAATACATTTTAAACTGCTTTCTTATTAGGTTGCCAACCTGAAAATAATTGTACGATAAATAAAAATAGATGAATTACATTCATTCAGAAATAATATATTTCGTTGAATTTCCTTTACAAAGTTTTAAAAGTAAAATGAGGTATCTCGTCAGATATACCATCCTTATCATCGTCGTATAAGATAGTAAAAATAATGAATAGGAATAAACAACATATGTAAAATAAGTGTCAATAAATCTTTATATGTATACTAGAATACAAATTAATAAAATAATAACTAAATTTTACAAGACACTTTTGCTCACTTTTGAACATTAACCCATGAATTTACAAAAATACAAAATACCCCAAATAATTGAGAAGTAGTCTAATATAGCAATGCTATAATTTGACATTGATAGCACTATGTTTTTTTTTATTAATATGTTTTACGGTTCTGGATACTGCTTATTAGTATTGCCAACTCCAAACGTTTTTATGAATTTTTACTCAGAACTTATAATTTCAAGATTTCTGTTCTATTCTAGAAAAATCTACTGTTTGTGTGCCGGTTTAACTTCGACTGCCAGTAATCAATACATTCACGAGCAGAATATTATGCTCGTGAATGTATTGATCTGTAGTCCCAGAAATGTAGTCAGCGGTAGTGCCCACATGAGCCTAAGCGTGTGTAAGCAACATTTTAGTATACACCAAATTTGGCTCAGAATATCTGAAATTAAATTAAAAAAAAATAGTACACGAAATTAAAATTGTACAAAACTGTTTATAATTAATATAAACGAAAAAATTAAATTAAATAGAACACCTAATATTTTATCAAATCATTTACCATTTCCGGTATTGCCTGTCTTCGTGCTTAATTGCAATTTAATAATTTGAAACATATCTCTAGGTATAAACTTATCGCATAATTTTAAGAATTCTTCTTTGGTCACACTATCTAAGTCACATTTTTTATTATTTTTGGCTTCCCTAAGTTCAAATGCCAATTTTCTCTTTCTTGGAGTATCGGCTGAAAGGTGAAGAGGTGTTTGTGTTGATCTACTTTCAACTGTTCGAATAACAGGATCTGTTTGAATACTGCAAGATCTTTGGCCTTCCAAAGTAATTATTTTGTTGAAAGAACAATGTGAACTTGAAGATTCCTCATTAATAGGGAAACATTTAGTTTTCAGGTTTTCTTGTATGGGGACTTGGAGCTGTGCATCTCCACGTTGACTCGTTGTTGCACCGTCATTAGATGGCAAATTGAGTGTTGGAAAAGCACTGCCAAATAAAAATTTTACAGTTCTGTTCTTAGAATACTTAATGTAGGTTTTTTCGAAGTGGTCTTCGCATATTCTGTATTGTTGGCTTACTTTATCGTGAAGAAATTTTGCAATGAGATCTTCTCGACCAACAGCTTTTAACCATTCATTTCTCCTATAATAAAAATAATGTTAGTTTCAATTGGGTGGCGACCATTATTAGTGAAAGTTTATCACTGATAATTGACAGTATTTTTATATATATAATATATAAAAATACTGTCAATAATAGTCGTCGTAAATAATTAATTAATATATATATATATATATATTAATTAATTATTTATTATAAATAATAACCTATTTATCACTAAGTCCATAACTACTTGGACCCTAAATTACCCTTTGAAGTGAACAACTTGAACAAAAACAAAATACTACTAAAGTCAGGTGGTGTATGCTAATTGACTTTAAGCACTTAGGTACATACACCTATATATGTTATTATAATCAATGTGAATGTATTTTGGATAAATTCAAGTTCTCCAGTTTATATAAGAAGTGCTGTACTAGAACGTAGCTTTCTTGTATAGCACTCTTGCACACTTATATAGAGGCATAGGAAGAAACAGAAACAATATATATATATATAATATTGTAACCAAATATTTACTTACTTAGCAGAGTCCTTAGGGTAATTGAAATATGATTTATTTTTATGTTTTCTATTATTGTTCATACATACTGTACAGTACATGCTTATGTCGTATTTTTTATTAGAACACTCAATTAATTGATATTTGAAGAGCGTAAACAAATACGACACACGCCGCGCAGACCCTGAATTTGAGCACTGGCCAAACGAAGGCCGAGCCACTCCCAGCCAGTGCCCGAATGTAGTAGTGTTGTAGACGTTGTCCTGATAGATCCTTCTCTCTCACTCTTTAGGTATCTCACGTTATAGGTAATTGGTGCTGTAAATGTAAAGTATAAAAATAGATGATACTAGGTACATATTAGCTTGGTAGTATGATTGATTTCTATTCTATCTGTATATCACGAGATCCCATTCTTCTCTAATATAGAAAAGGTTTTCGGTTAATATCTACATACAGCTCACAACGCCATCTAGTCCGAAAATAAACAGATCTTTTGTTATAGATAGGTACTAGATAATTGATATAAATATATATAGTAATAATAATCTCAGGACAATTCACACAGTGCCATCTAGTCCTAAGTTAAGCTAGCTAAAGCTTGTGTTACGGGTACTAGATAACTGATACAAGTACATAGATATTTTTTTTTGTAAATACATACATATTATACATAGAAAACACCCAGACCGATACAAACAATCATACTCAAGAATACAAATGTTTTATTTGTGCCGTGCGAGGAATCGAACCCGTGACCATCGGACGTAAAGCGGTGTGCTAGACCGCTAGACCACCGAGGTTGTCAATATATACCTACCTACATTTTGTGAATATATATAATATACTAAATATATATAAAACACACATAATTGTACAAACAATTATACACATGAATACAAATGTTTGTACCGTGCGAGGAATCGCACCCGTTACCATCAGAAGTAAGGCGTAAACAAACAATGACAAAATAATACTTTTTAGTACTAAAAAGAAACAACACATTCACAAAATTGTCACCAACATCATTTAAATAAGTGCTTATTTGTTTGTTTAACATTCACATCCTAATTACTAAAGTAATTCTTATGAAATTTGGAATACGTGTATCTACTATGTAGATGCGGGAGAACTTGGACCTATAAGTACATATTTAGTATGGTTCCTCATAACTCGTATAGTTTCAATTTTTGATTTATAAATTGTAAATAACTATTCCTATCGTACCTTTATCTATAAACCTTTTAATTTAAGTTAGGTACTTGGCCTGCTATTTTGAGAAAAAAGTTAACCTTAATAGGTAAATTTAAGTGCGGTTTTATTATATACGTGCAGCTATTTAGCTATGAAAAGGTAACAAACGGACAATTACGCTTTCGCACATATAATATTAGAACAGAATTAGAATTCGTCAAACATAAGTTGTCCTGTTTTATAGTGCCTATCTAAGCAGGTAATAAAAAATATAACAATCCTTGACAGTTCGTACTAAACAAAAACAAACTAAGCAGAAGAAAACTGAAAGATAATGCCTTCAAAAATGCACTGGCAATTGCGTGGCAATTTAGTATTACACAGACATATGCCGTGTCTGTAACATGAACTTGTTATCTCATATTATCTGTAAAACACCACATCGAATGGACGTTGAGGTTTGAGTGAGCCAATAAAACCAGAACCATAATTTTGATGTTTTATTCATAATTAATAAATATATATATAGCATATTATATAAAAGAAATACAAAATAGATGAGAATATTTTCTCACCATTTATTTATAGAACTGGTGGCAAATATGTCGGTGCAGGCGTTGATACAACTCCATATCCCGGTGTGGAAGGTGGTAAGTATTCGGTATTAGGTTTTGGAGCAGGGGTTGCAGTAGGTGTCGGGGTTTGGGCTAGAGTTGGTACAGGTTGTGACGGTGGAGGTGGAGTGGCTGGTTTTGGAGGTAAATATTGCGTTTCAGGCAGTTGTACAAGGTTAGGTAGAACAGTTGGACTTATATTCACTACATCAGATAGCCCACTTTCTGTTGTACCTGCTATCGGAGGAAGATACTTAGGAGCGTTAGTCGATACACTTCCAGACTGAACTGCACCCATGTTTGAAGTTGGTGTGTTATAATTGTAACCAGTAGGGCCTGATGCTATTAGGCTACCCAATGTAGCAGAATTTTGAGTTCCGTAATTATAACCAGATGCAGTTCCAGTCGAGCTTGCCTGTGCGGTATTTTGGACGCCGGAAATTTCTCCTGTACTGCCAGCACCAACAGAGGCGCCAGCGACAGCTGTAGAACCAGCAGTCGAAGAGGAGTAGCCGATATTGACGGTGTCTCCATTCGATGGCACCGGATAGGCATAATACATCTGTTGCTCCTGAATCCTGTCAACATTTGGTGCTTGAGTGGACACCGGCGAAGGTCGAGATGGCAGATCAAAAGATATATTCGGTTTATCATACACATACCCGGCTTGACGCGTCACGCGAACATTTTCAGGATTATAGCTTTGTTGACTTGATTGCACATTCAGGAAATCCGCTTCAACATTCAAAGAGATAAGATACAAAAAACCCATTACATATTTTTTAGTTACACACATTTTTGGAACGTCAAGATATTAACTAGAATTACATCCACAAAAAGACAGTTTTCCCTTTTGTTTGCCTTTATTTATAATAATTTCGAGGAAGTTATCTCTGCAATATTGTGACATACTTAAACTACTTCCATAGTTAACCCTTCGACTGCATCTAGATAAAATTGTTTTTCGCTTATTAAATTAGCATAATTTTTCTATTTACTTTAAATGATCACAATATAAATATATGTGCAGTAAGTTTGCATACTGTTGAAGGTTTTCAAGATGCGCGGGATTATTTTTTACTATTTCAACTTGATTTCAATACTTTGTTACATTTCAATATCATCTTATTTTATTTCTAAATCAATTTTTATCAATGAAATTGATAACTAGCTGATGGTAAGTAGTAAACGTCGTCTATATACATAAACAGCACATTGTTATGTGATGCATTACCACTAATACTACTCTCATAGGATTCACTTTCGCATAAAATAATATTTTCCACATAGATTCCAGATATATTCCAGTTCGTCATGTCTCCGAAACCTGTTATTTCACTACCTTACCCTAACTCCACAACAGGAAAACGTGAAACATGTACTTAACATGTTTCACGTTTTCCTTACATATTTTTTCATAATAACATGAAAAATTATATTTTTATTATTAGCGCTTATTATGAGAAGCTTGCCAACTAGAGGGTTAATGTGGTTTAGCAAAATTACGAAGAAGATTAACACAATGCAATTGCCCTCAGTTATACAGGTACTTACCGACTTATAACTATTTTACTTGATTATAACTATTCTTTGCTTACGAATTATTGTAGCTGTAGATAAATATATTTATAGCTATTTTAAATAATAATTTCCTTTCTGTTGAATTCTTTCTGTTATATGTATTTCATATGGTAGAAAGAATTAAACAGAAAGGTGGAGTTTATAGAAAAACTATTTTATAATTAAAAGTACATCAATTATAGAATATCCAAGGTTCTTGAGAACCTCAGAAAATCAACGACCATTCCTGCAAGAGTGTCTGACATGCCTAATTACTTATAAGTTGTGATTTCTGATCTCAGATTAAGTTCTAATAAGGTTGTGGTCAAAAATAAAAATATCTTAGAATTTGAAAGACACATAGTATGAAGTCGTTTATATACAAGCAATGTTCCTGTTCGAAAATGGCTGAGAAATCACTGACTAAGCAAAACACCTTCGTGTCTTTATATTTGGTCTCTGCTAAAAGAGACAACACAAAAGCAATGTAAAACAATCTTAATAGTTCAAAAGTAGGTTAACATCTTGTGCATATTGAATTAAAGATAAATTACTAAATTCTTAGTTTACGCCAAGAAAAATGAAGCACTAAGAGAAAAAAATTTCGCACACTTGATCGAAACACAACTTAAGTCATTTGTTAAACAATATTATCATCTGTTATGCTATATTCTTACAGAGATATTAATAACATGTTTCAACATAAACTGTAGGATCAATCCAACCAGTTAAAGTGAAAGGGAATTGTTAATATTCAGTGTACGCATGCGCAGAGTCAATAGCAAACGTTATATTAGTGACACACTGTATTTTAGGTTCGTATCCAAAAGTTATTTTTTAACCAAAACATAAGAATACTAAACCATTTTTTTTCTGTATTTACTTTTGTGTATTTTTGGGCATGGCATGCGATTTGTTGGCCAGAATTGTGATTCTATTTTGACATTTTTTTTAATACAACAGATGTATTTACTATTATTAATCTTATTGTTTTTGTGTGTTTGTTAAACAAATTTATGAAACATTGCTTATTTAGCAATAACCAAATTAAATATTTTATAATTTGCGTCGCCTATTTATTTTCTGGACAACATATTTATCAGCATCGTTATTATTACTATTATCATCTAGTTGTAAAACAGATGACAAATTTTAATTTTCCTAAATTTTATTATTCTACACAACTTAGGCCCTTTTGACTTATCTAATGTTATATTAGAAGAAAAAGTTAAATTGTGTCAGCTTTAATTCTCTCTGTAGCCCGATGTGGTGAACTGTTGTAGCCTTCAAAACAAGTTTAGTCAGTTCCAGTGGCTGCAAGCGAAGTGATTACTGTAATTTCAAATTACTTGTACCATTGTCAACCGAATTTTAAGAAGAGGAGGTTCTGAATTGTGCTGTTGTTATGAGAAGGAGTAAATTAAAATATTTTTGAATATAGATTACAGTCATTGGAGAAAATATCAATTTCAGTATTAGATATCATGAATCGATTGACTGCAAATTTAAATGTTGTCTTCTTTACGTCGCACCTCAATAAACCTCGAATAAATTTGAAGAACTTCCATACATGAGTGATGATAAGATAAGAATACTCTTATTTAGATAGGCTTGTTTACATTTTTAATAATCCGACTAGTAGGAATGTGGGCCGAATAATATTATATTTTGTACAAAAAATATTGTAACATAATCGTCAATAAAGTTCAGCACTCCACAGAACTAATATCACTCTTAGACGTAAAAGAATAATCTCTGCCAATTTTAGATATGGCGCTGGGACAGGTAGATAGACATTTGAATAAAGACGAAGTTTTTTATTTAGTCAGAAGTAGTCAGGACACTAGAAAGTATCTATCTTTAAATTAGCCAAGAATCCTGTGACAAATGTAAAATATAGTCGAGTGTGACGTTATTGACTCGTATTCTGAAACTTTAGATTTCACAAATTATTGTATATTTCTTTTTTAAATTTAGACTTGACGAGTTGTTTCTAAGGAAAGAAGAAATTATAAATGATTTCATTATTCAATTTATATTACAGCTAGATTAGATACACAGTGAAGAAAAATGGTACTTAAGCTATACGCCGTGTGTGATGGGCCACCATCTTTGTCGGTACGTCAACTGCTGGCCAAGCTGGAGTTGCCTTTTGACTTGATCGACGTCGACTATTGTGCAGGGGATCATAGGACACCGGAATATGCATTGGTAATTGTCTCTCTGGCTATCTTCACATTAGAATCCTTTATTCTTAAATCAAAGCTATCCTGAATCAACTACATATATTCCTTCCGAAAGTGTTAAAAAAAATGTACAAATAGATAATTTTAAAACCTTTTCATTCGAATATTTTCTAGTTATTTGGGATAGGCATAGTATATTTTTGCTTTCCTTTTTAAGACACTAAATAACGGCCACGGAATGAATTAGTCATCTTTTCTACCACCTATCTCTTCGTCTATTACGTCGTCGTCTATCTTTCTTATGTTTTGTGTCCATCTACTTACAAAGTAATTTTTAAGTAGGTAATGATTTTCGTCTGCCACCACCTTCTAAATAAGTTAACCTCCTTTATCTTATCTTATTAATTATTAATATTACTTACAGGCTTTTATTATGTACTTATTTCATATTTTATTTCACTTCCCATTTTAGATGAATCCTCAAAAAGAAATACCAGTATTAGACGACGATGGATTCTATCTGAGCGAGAGCAACGCCATATTGCAGTACCTATGTGATAAATATAAGCCCGGTACCTCGTTGTATCCAGTGGACCCTAAGATAAGGTTAGACAATACAGAAGTATTTTCTTATTTATTCAAGTATATAAAATGTGAGGGCAAACGTTGACACAAATATTTACATTAATTTCTATAACTACAGCGACTACTCTGAACCAGTATCCAGTTTCTTGACATCCTTGAGTATCCTTTGTTAGCTACTTCTATTGACTATTATGAATAAAGCAGTCCTTAACATCATATATTACGGGCATGAGGCTGCTTAGTCCTTATCTACTATTTTAAAAAATTACCTGCTCTCAATATACTTACTATTTACAATTTGCTCCTCGTTGGTCTTCACTTTATGAGTTCACATTTTTTATCTGATGGTAAACAGTCACCGTAACCTATAGTCGCTTGAAACACCAGGCATGTCACATGTTGCCGACTCTTAAAAAACTATACATGCTTGTGACATAAATATTTTGATTAACCATTATTAATGTAATCATGTTTTAGAGCCATCATAAATCATCGCCTATGTTTCAATTTATCAACGTTCTATCCAAGCATTAGTGCTTACACGGTAAGATTTATTTTTTTATTATGCAACTCTATTGTGAATCAATTTAAATCAAAAATCATTTACTCATACTAGAATGAATTTAAAAATTCATGAAGACATTTAAATTTTTGTCCCTCAGTTACACTTACACTTAAATGTGTACCAGAGAAAGTATTGAGAACCATAATGTTAAAATTTAATTATCCATGGGTAGAATTGACTTTGTCCTAAACAAGTTATGATCTTGAATCCTTTTTTATGTAACTAGTATGGCAAACATTGATAAAATTTAGGGTTGTATGATTTTTTAATGCCAAAATAAAAATTTACTAATCCCGTATCACTTAGGGATATAAAAAATAATTCACATCCAACTGCATGTACACACTAAATTTTATAAGAATCATTCAAATCTTTTCGGAGAAGTTTTGTTAAAAAACACCTTTAAATCTTCTTCGTTCCAGATGGCGCCCATTTTCTTTGATTACGAGCGCACTCCATTGGGTCTGAAGAAAATTCATATAGAACTTGATGTGTTTGAGACCTACTTAGAACGACTGGGTACAAGTCACGCAGCTGCAAACCATGTCACCATCGCAGACTTCCCACTTATTAACTCCATCATGACACTTGAAGCTATCGATTTTGATTTCTCCAAATACAAAAGAGTAAGTGTCTAGAACTTGTAATTATAAATAGTGGTCGACCAATGGTCGTAATTCGAACTTAATTAATTAACATTCAATAAGACTAAAGGCAAACAATATTAATATATTCTCAATTTGACCACTGAGTTTAATAATAATAATAATAAAGAATAATAATCTCAAGACAATTAACACAGCGCCATCTAGACCCAAGTTAAGCTAGCTAAAGCTTGTGGTACTAGATAACTGATACAAATACATAGATAATTTTTTTTCGTAAATACATACATATTATACATAGAAAATACCCAGACCGATACAAACAATCATACTTATGAATACAAATGTTTGTGCCGTGCGAGGAATTGAACCCGCGACCATCGGACGTAAAGCGGTGTGCTAGACCGCTAGAGCACCGAGGCCGTCAAATTAAAAAAGTATATATATATGCGTGTGTTTCAAATACATGGTAGTGTCTGTAATGCTTTTTTATTGACCTTCGTAAAAAGGGGTACAATATTTAAAATTATAATGTAATGATAGTAATTAAGTGCTTGAGCTGGAGACAACAATATTTTGTAATCGGTCTAACAAAAGGTTACTCATTATACTAAGTAATTATGATTATCAGTTTCATGTAAAAGACAAAGCCCTTGCTAGTAGCCTGAGTAATCGACGCTCTCTTATGATTGTGTGACCATGCTGACTCATCTTGTAACTTTTAGCACCAGCCCTTTTTTAATTTTGCTTTATTCATAAAAGTGGTCTTAGTGTATTTTTGACGATTGTTGTTACCGTCACTAGCGATTCTGAACAAATTTTGTAACTTCCGGTTTTTTTGGTAATTCGAATGGCAAACGAACATACGGGTCGCCTGATGGTAAGCGGAAACTGTTGCGTGTATACGTGGATAGCACTATGAACATCACGTTCTCATGGGACTCCAGATATACCACTCATGGTTGCCATTCTAGAGCTCTGAGATACCATGTATTATACATGTCGTACTGTAATTCGTATCATCATACAGTACCTAATCGTCGGGACTGTAATTTTGTGCCAATAAAATCACATTGCTTTGGAGTATATAATAAATATACCTAATTAGATTATCCTTATTTCATATCTTCCATTTAAGCGACACGTAATTTAACTTTTTTGCTGTTTAGTTGGAATGAATATTTTTTTTCCTTTAAAAAACGAACTAAATTACTATAATACTTGTATATTTTAAAATTTTTTTACTTACATACCCAAGTATTTTTAGTAATTTCACTTTAAATAAATTTAGTACCTGTAACAGCACACACAGGTATAGTAGATACTAGAATTAGACAGTCAAGGAATTTAGTTGATTATTATAATATATGTTTTTTTACATTTCAGATTAGTAAATGGTATAATGATTTTAAACAAAACTATCCAGATCTATGGAAGATATCAGAAGACGCAATGAAGATAATACAACATTTCGCTGCCAATCCTCCCGATTTATCGAAACTCAATCATCCCATTCACCCAATACGTAATGTTAAAAAATAGAAAACACAATAAAACTTTTATTTTTTATACGACAACAGTTGACAAAAGTCATTGATTTCATAAATTGAATATATTACAACATACTCAGTATTAAAATAAACTTAATCCTATTCATAATGTTAATATCTAATAAATGTATATTAGACATTGAACTGCTCTGTAGATACTTATTAACGAATTATTTTCTTAAAATTTTAAAGAATTTTGCAAAACACTCTAATGTTAATTAAAAGTTTATTCAATGTAGCTATTAGTTTTTTATGGATATAAGTATATAAATGTAAATCCTCCCTTGCTTCTTGTGTAAAAGTTTTTATCCTTTATCTCAAGAGACGCATCTCTTCATGTATCCTAGACAAGAGTTTGAGCAGCAATCAGAATGAACACTACACTGGAAATAAACAATGATTCATTAGTTATTATATTCATTCTTATTTCACCGCTTCAAATTAATGAAAATTATTACTATACTATACTATTTTCACTGAATAGCTACGAGTAGCATCATCATCAACAATAATTTAGATATTAGCCTTTCATTATTAGATGTGTCCTACACCTATATGTAACAGATCTTTTTTAAAAATTAATGCTACTTCTTAATATGTTAATTCTTCAGATTAATTGTATTGTAAATATTACAAATTGATACTTACATATTGACCAATTGGCACACATTCTTTGTTGGGAGTAATAGGGGCTTGATTTGATGTTATTTCTTCAACTTTAACAGTATCTTTATTGTCCACAGCTATATTATCAGGTTTATCTTCTTTAACATCAGCTACGGGAACGATTTCGCCATTTTTTATTACATTACTGGTTACAATCTCGATAATAAGGACGAAAGATAAAACGATAGCAATAACACGAGACATTGTGTTCAAATTGTGTTCAACACTAACGGCTATTACTCAGAGTTGCATGATTATATGTTGTCAACAAATATGTGGCTTTTACGATTAACCTATACCCAAGTACGACACCCGCATACCTAAGTAGGTAACGGCAGATAAAGTAACAGTAAACAATGTGTAACAGGATGATTAATTTCTAGATAACTAAATAGTGATTCTAAAAAAGGAGAATGCCTGATTCTTCTGCATCATTCAATTCGATGTCATAGAAGCCAATAGGAGAATTTGTCATTGACTTTATTTTGGATGTTTGTTGTGTTTTGTTATAGTTAGTCATTTTTAAATTCTTCAATTATCAATTCTATATCATTATTTAGTGCCAAAGTAATTAGCGGGTGCATCATTTCATTATTAATAATTAACAAAGACATAGAAAATATCCAGACATTTGTAATCAAATACACATTGAAGACTTGAAAACTGATTGGTATATAATACGTCGATTAAACACAGTTTAAAATATAATAATTTCAGTAATGCGACTACCAAATAGACCAATGGCAAAGAGTCTGGCCATAATGGGCAACAAATCCTAAAAATATATATCAACCTATACACAACATTGTCTTATGTAGGTAAATCGTTGCTACTCTACTTTTTTCTGAGCCATCCATTTGTTTTTAACTATTCCAAATAGTTTGTAACAGTCACTTATTATTAATGGATACCTATTGAGCCTGATAAGCTGGCTATTAATGGGCAAAATAGAGTAATCTACATATGAGGGTTATACCTACCTAGTAATCTAGAAAAAAATTAACTACTATAATTAAGTATAACTCACTGTGAAGGTTTATCAATTGCCAAAATATGCTGTGTTAATTAAGTTAATAAATTAGCGACATTAGTAAAAATGTATCATAATATAAAGTCACTGCCTTTACGGTCGTTTCTCCGCTTCGTTCTTTTAAACCTTTAGATTTTAATAGGATACATATCACTATTTTTTATAGATTCACAGGAAGTTTATATGTATAATTTGTGCATATATATGCAAAATACATAAAGCACCGTACATTTGTGCGAACCCGAAGTGAATAGCTAGTTCTTATATATTATTAGATATATAAAATGTAGTCACAATGCAGTCTTATCTTACAATTTAAAATAACAATACTTAATAAATAGGATCTTGACACTCGAGTCGGATTTTATTCTTCATAATATGTGTTTTAAAAATAATACACACACCCTTATTTATAAAATATAAAATAATCTTATAATTATGTTAATGCCCCTGAGCTAACTTCTGAATTTATAAAAAGGATAACACTTTCTAATCATTTAAATGGGTTTATTTTTTATTTTGATTTAAATTAAAAAGTTTCCTTGCATGGTCGTATATCATCAATATTCTGTCATTGCAGACCTCTAAAAGGTATGTTGAAGACGCTTGGACTGTTGTTATTATTCTTTGAAGGTCGTGGTGGACGTGGCACTAAAGAGACTAATGGGGCTTGAGTATCCACTGGGTTGAACAAGTTGGGCACACCGCCGTTCCCTGTTACCGGCTTCAGTAAACTGGTTGGAAACTTGAGTAAACCATCAAACAGTTTCTTGCACAATTCTCCTGATGTTCTATCAGCCATATTGCCCCACAGTCCCATCTGGCAGTATCTGAACAAATTTAAAGGTACATTTGTTAAAAACTATCCAAGCATCCCAAAAAAATATTAGAAACCAAAGCTTGGAAGAAATTTGTGATGCGCTTTGAAACACTTATGCGATACTAAATATATTTATAGAGTTTTACCTACCTGAAATTCTTTCCTAGGGATATATCATTATCAATTTTTATATACTGATCATTATCCTTTGAAAATGGTAATAGTAGATTCGAGAATTTTGACTCCTTCTTTGTTCCTAGGGGATTTAGGCTGTGAGCAAACTCAGCTACCATGCCCACAAAAGACTTGCGAACATGAGCATCTGTTGATGAAATTTCGTCTTTTTCTATTGAATTTCCTTCTTCGTCCAGAGGTTCGAATAAATAGGCTAACTCATCGCCATGTGCTGGTCCCTTGATCGTACTCTTTTTTGCCTCTTCGCTTTCTTCATTGTTGTCTAAAATAATAATATCTTTGTTATGTGCAAAAATATAAATAAAGTATTAATGTTGCATGTTTGGCCGGACTCATACGGCAATATAATATAAAACAGATTTATAGTGATACTAAAATAATCTTATACTACTTACCGGCTAATATTACTCCAGGTAAGAAATGAGACCCTTTTGTAAGGTTTCCAACAAATTCGAAACTGTATAGATACGACGGAGCTCCAGTTGCCCACTCCTTGACGCTTTGGTATGCAGGGAAGTTGAACAAGGCGTCTCCTAAAGAATGAAGGTATTTTAATAAAAACACATTTTCCTTCAAACTCAAATCACTATATAATAATCGGAAGAGGGGAAAAAATCGGAAATAAATCGTGGAAGGAGCTAGAAACTTGAAATAAATTTCTAGATATATAACCAAGAAAGAAGGCTAAATCCTATAAATATACAGGAAAGGATATGGAATAAAAAATGAATTATTTTGGTACTGTATGTTTTAGTAGCTTTACATATTTTTTAGAGTAAGAAGATAATCTGAAGTCTAAATGGATATAATTTTTGTAGGAATGTAGCCGAGTTTTAACGAGTATATCGTATGTGTTAGATAGAATTTCAATATTACATAAATAATAATAAAATGGCAGAGGACGACTTAGAGCCCCGTATCTGGCATGCTATTGCCAGTGCAGGTAAAAGGATCTTTTTGAGAATACAAAAAATATAGGGGTCCTTTGTTAACCAGACCCTTTTTATACCGACCCTATAGGTCGGTGAGTCACGCAGCTGCTATCCTTGTTAATAATAACTTGCTTGGTAATAGTGGTTACAGTGAAAATAATATTCAGATATAGTTACCTAAAGATATTTGTATTAAGTTATACAAGACCCAAAGAGATATTATAAGAATACACTTAATTTGATCTTAATACTAACTTAAATATTCTATTTAAAATGTTAAATTCAGTAGGTAACTAACAATAGGCATAATATAATAGTTAATGCAATAGGAACAACAAACAACGAATAATTTGGTGTACCTGAATAATGAATAATTAATCATTTTTCTTCGAATTTATATCTTCATTAACATATAAAATATGGTCTCAATATTATAAAATTCTCGTATCGCGGTGTTTGTTACCAAACTCCAACGAAACGGCTTTAACGATTTTTTATTGAAATTTTATGTGCAACTAAATAACACCTATTTTTCATACCGCTCAATGGCAAAAAATATTTTTTTATATTATTATAATTTTACATTGAAAAATACATACAACTTAAAATTTTTACCCTTCTAGGTTTCTAGGCACTATCGACTCTTTTTTTTATAGCCATGATTTTACTTCTTCAGTTTGTGCTAATGGACAGACCAGTGGGATATAAAATAATTTCATACTTAGTAAAATAATATAAACATTGTATAGACACATACCTGTTGCTTCAACGATTTTTGTGAGTGCATCAACTGTTGTAATTGTATTCTCTACCGACTCATTTCTTAACGCCGTATATGATTGATAGAAATCACCCAATGGAAACACTTTTTGGACTTGATCCAACTTTAACGAAGAAATCAGTAGACCTTCTACGTCCGTGACGACATTTTGCAAACCTCCGATTATATCTTTCTTAATGAAGTCCGATACCTCTTGCAATTGTTTCTTCAAGAAATTCGAGTATTTACCTGAAAAAATCTTATATAATAATTCAAATCGTAAAATTAAAGTAATGCCAAGTCACACTTTCATTTTGTCGTCGTTTAATTTTTACCACTTTATCTTACATTTTTCTAAAAAGTCCAATATAGATTAAATACTAATCTACTACTGGAAGTTAATTATACAATTTGAATTTTCATTATTATTTACATTTGGGTTTTTGCAAGTAGGTATCATATATTTATATCATGTTACTTGTTAATAATAGATATATAGAACATATTTTATTTGCCAGATACAGTAAAGAAGAAACACAAAGAGATTTGTTAGATACAAAGGACACATGTATCGTTACAATAATAAGGTTAAGATTTTGTTTTTGTTAATTCATTAATTACAGAAAATAAAACCAGGAGGGATTTTATTCATTATATAATAGCTCAGACAAATACCGAATACAGCTCGTGACGTTTCTGCTGACGTGACACCGGTGAGCAGTGGAGCATGCTGTCTTTTCTTCTTGAGAGACGTAGCTGGCATTTCTTCTATCAGTATAGGTAGAGCACGATTATCATCTGAGCCTTCTACCCGTGCACCGGTACCTGAAAAATACAGAACCATACTTTTTGTACTAGACTGTACGAATGATGGGACAATTCAATGACGAGAGCTAATGAGTATATAGATATTGTTACAAAAATTTTACTAAGAATAACAGACGTAAAACAAAACTATCAATATATATAATACATAAAATAGTTTCCAACATCGTTCCAGAGAATCAGATTATTACGCAGTCTCCTTGAGGAGTATAGCCAGTATTAATATTTTTTTAAATTACCTTGATTCTTAATAACACTTTTTTGCACTACCATGCATATGCTCACTGAGTATTATGAAATATTAAGTAAGTACACTCACCAGCACGCCCTGCGACTTCATCCAAGAAATTTTGTGTGGTAAAATCTACATTTGAATCCTTATCCGCCTGTAAAATTATAAGGGTATATTAAAAATAATTAATAAAATCAAATATTTTTTCAAAATTATTATGACGTGGCCTACGTTGGTCTAGCGGTGTAGCATAGTTTCGTTGCGATATCAAATAAAAAACTTCTGGTATACTAGAACACGTTCCATTCAAACTCAAAGAATATTGATATAATAAACTAAATATTACCATACAAGTTTCATTTATTTAGACGTAATTATTGGATGTGATTTTGACCCGACCCAGATTCGATTGCATATCTGCAAAAAATATACAATGCACGGCAAAATAAAAAAATCAGCACAAATTACTTGATTTTAAATTTCAAATTGTTACCTGGATGATCTTTTCTACAGGAAGGGCCCTCAGACAAAGAGCAAGTCTTTCTACTGGTTTTGAAGGACAGTTAGTGCGAGTTGCTAATTCTTCAGCATATTTCTCTGGGTTAGAACGTACTGCGCCTGGTGATAATGGAGCTCCTGATAACGCGGCCACTCCTTTGGAGCTCCGATCTTCAGGCGATAGTGATAGAACAGATGCAGCACTGGCTCCAGAACCTTGTCCCATTATGATAACGTTGGACGGGTCTCCTCCGAAAAACTGAATGTAGTCTTTAACCTACAATATATTTGCATAAAGTTAGTATCTTATTACTGGGGGGAAGGGATAGCTTCTCATGAGTTTTGTTAGGGGGCCACCCATTGCCAGCAATGTGTGCTACAGTCAAGTTGACTTTCGGTCTCCCCAGAAAAATATTGTCGTCAATTGCGGCTTAAATGCTACATTCCATCATAAGTTATTAAATTAATTTCTCAGTAGGTACTGCATAGAAAGGATTATGACTAATGGTCAATATTGATTCCGTTGCTTTCACCTATATTCTCTATATAGGTGAAATATCATCTATATAGGTATATTAGACCTATAAGTGAGGAGTTAGGTTGATCTCTACGTGCTCCTCACAGTAAATCATCGTTATTAATTTCTGTTTAATTAAACATCTTAGTTTATCCTCATTCTATCTTACACTAGTCATCCGTCAAGAACATTAGGACAACTCCACCATTATTTAAAAAAAATATACCTCATAATTCCAAGTTACAATAAACTGAAAATCAAAAGTTAAAGACTAAATAATTTTATGAAATTTACAAGCTCCAAGCAAGGGGTTTTTTTTATTGGGCTACTGTGCCCGTAGTTTCAGCCGCGTGCAATTCAATGCCTATGTCTTATTCTGAAAAGCCATATTATAGAAAAGTTCCATTAAAATCCATTAAGTAGTTTTTATGTGAAGGAGTAAGAAACATCCATCCAACCATCCACAGTCACAAACGATACGAAATAATATTGCAGTCACTTCGCAAAAATATGAAACAAAAAGTGTTGTATTTCAAGAAGTTCAACAATGAACCAACTTACCCAACTCATTGCGGCGTGCAAGTCGAACATCCCAGCATTACCCGAAGCGTCTTTTTGACCATTTGTAATGAAACCCAGGGAACCCAGGCGGTACTGAGCCACCACCACTATGGTGTCTGCTTGCACCAAATGCTTACCCTTAAAAGTGATCATAAAACCAAAGATTAGTGTTTTAAAGTCAGTATATAGAGCTTAGAACAGAGAGAGCTGACAGAAGAACAGAGCTTAGAAGACATTTAATATACAACAACATAATAATTAGTTGGTAGATATTAATAAAGCAATATACTATTTTCTAACATAAGAATCTGATTTCTATCCTGTTCTTGTTTTTTTCTTATTAAATCATATGTTTGTATAGACTGTTTATAGACGAAACGAAAAAGTAAATCAAGACTACCTACAAAATTCTTTTGGAATGCCGTCAAGTAACACAACAACATGGTTATAATAAAATACTCAAGTAGCTAATGTTTAAGTACGTTAAAAATATATTTAACTTATCTGTCATTTAAACATACATATTAAAATTTTTCTTAGTGTAGCTCTATAATTTACTATATTTTATAAATATTAACTGCTTAATACCATGAATAGTAATTTACTATTTAAAGTAGATATAGAGAACTTAGTGAGATTGTGTTGTGAAAAATAACAAAATCATGTAATACTAGGTTTTCGACGATAACGATTTACTGTTAGTAGATTTCATAAAAAACATACCCCATATGGATGCGCCGAACCAGTTCTGTAATTACCGCCATGTATGAAGAATATAACAGGAGAACCTGTAAATATCCAAATTTTATTTTCAAATATTGCATAAACATAATCGTTTGTGGTACCCCGTCAGCATAAACCGTTAGCTCAGGAGGGCGCATAATTCCATTATCATCCATAAGACAAAAAATATTAAAGAAATTGAAATATAAATCAATATGACAATATTTATACTCATATTATCATTATCCACTAGCGGTGAAATTCTTTTTCTTATTGAAGAAAAATAAATACCTACTAATTATATTTATTAATACAGTTACATTAATTTCGGGTCTTAAATAACCTTTTAGGCAAATAGTTATTAAATCATTACATAGTAAAATATAGTCGCCGACGTTGTCTGTTCGCTAATATATATATTAAATTATAATGCAGTTTTCAGCAATAGAGATATAAATACACTCTGAACTATACAATTACTATTGTAAAGACCCGATTAAACAAAATAATGATGTGTACAAATCGCAAAAGTTGTTTCTTCCAAAGGAGCCCACCTTTTTCTTCTCCTGGCATTTTCGGACTGAAAACATTGAGGCAAAGACAATCTTCTCTTCCGAAGATATTCATTAACCTCGGCTGCGGACATGCAGAGCAAGGTTTGGATGCTGTTAACTCTCCGGCCAGGATCCGTCGCACGGGCCTCTGAAATCTCCGAGGACCCACTGGCGGTTCAGCGTACCTGTTAATTTAAGAAACAATATTTTTAGTTTGATTGTTCTTCGTTAGCTATGTACCAGATTTTATTATTTACGATTGTAATATAATTTCATCAATTTTTTTAAACTAAATTGATATAAAACTAGGGTATTCTATATTAAGTTTGATAGTCTAAGACTTTAAGAGGTCGAACGCGTAAGTACCTCAGGCTCACCTATTTCAGCCACCAAGCAAAGTTGCTTTGTAAGCTGTCTTTAGTTTATAGGGTTCAGATTAGGCAGTGAAATTACAGAATAAGGCATGACATCTTAGTTGTCTGGAGTGGTATCTTATGAGTGGTATCACGGGTGTCACATGATAACGTGATGTCCGTACTGCTGTTCATGTATCACCTTATTTGACAATCCAATTACGTAAGAAAAAAAGAAAAAATAAACATTAAGTAATGTTTGCTATAATAATGATATCAGAATCGTTTCAGGACCTTATGTATTTTTGGCACGACATACATATAAAAATAAATAATTTAAATAACATCCCGCAGATACGATTTAAAATTACCAGAATTGTTATCACAGTATCCGCAAATATTTCCACACTGTTTTATGATAAATTATGTTTTTGAACATTTTTATTCAATATGTATTTGTATTTGTGTATAATATTGAAAAGAACAACTTTTAGCTTTGCAATATTGATAAAATTTGTTTACATGTATATTTGTGTTATACACACATCAAATAGGTATATAATAATAATAATAAATTTACTACCCCCGTAAAAAGGGAGTATTATAAAATAATAATAATAATAATCTCAGGACAATTTATGCAGCGCCATCTATTCCCAAGGTAAGCCGTGCTTGTGTTATGGGTATGACAACTGATATAAATAATTAGATACATGTTTTAAGTAAATACATACATAATATACATAAAAAATCCCCGTATACAAAGTATCAAACTCATGAATACAAATGGTTGTACCATGCAAGGAATAGAACCTAGAAGCGGTATGTTAAACCGCTAGACCACCTAGGCCGTCAAATTATGAGGTATTAATCGAGTCAAAACAGTCTACAAACGGTCTCATATAGATTATATATTATACAAAAAAATCATCTCAATCATCTCAAAATTTTTTTTAATAATTATTTCAGTAATCATAAATTTAAATTGTGTGGATGTTTTTAAATTAAAAAAAAAGAAATCTTTTTTAAATAGGATAAGTAACTTCATTTTTTGCCTTTCTGGACATGAATGCGATCTATTTTGTAAAGTATTATAATTAAACTGCAAATGTTTGTTGCAACATAAATAACTATGTATAATGTAATGTAAAGTAAGACATTACATTTGTCGCCAAGACAGAAAAATACAATGAAATGAAACTCAACACATGTTGTGTTGAGTTTCATTTCCGGCATTTGAGTATGTAACTCTATACTGTCCTTTCTTTTGTAGTCTTTCTTTAATCTTAATTATAGACAAAGTGAGCAAATGTGAACTTATCTCTAAAATAGATCTAAACATATACAATTATTACAAATCTTATTTATAAAATTCTCGTGTCACAATGTTAGTTACAATACTCCTCGGAAACGACCGATTTATATGAAATTTTATATCCATATTCAGTAGGTCTGAGAGTCAGCTACTATCTATTTTTCAAAGTGATAAGGGTTGTCCAGCCCTAACAATTCTATTGTGATATAATTATAATTTTTCATAATGTTAATTCTTTAAAAATACTATACGACCCGAAAATTTTACTTTTCTATAATCAACCCCTATTTTTTAATAGTGATATTAATTTATATTGCAAAACAACGTTTGCGGTACTACACACAATACAAATAAACGACGAAACTAATCTATTAGGAAGAGATTGTTTAATCAAACCTTATCCCAAAAAATGTGTAGTAACCCAATTTCTGATCCTTAATTCCCTCCACTCGACAGCTCCGACCATATTTTTGCACGAACACGACGGCAGCGTCAGGTTCTGGTGGAGACGCCGGGTTCCCGCCCACAACGGCGTCCGCCGGCCACCACACACTTGTCACTACCCCACACCATATCCACAACCATACAGATCTCATTTTAACAGCTAAATAACATTAACCTTACATATGTATATTGCAATCTGTTCAAAACGGATATTGTTGGCGTCCTGTGATATCAGTACTTTGGCAGAAATAGAATTTTGCGGATTACAGAGTACTTTTTTCAGTGAATGACAATGATATGGAGACTAAAGACATACGCTGGCAGGGAACCAGTAAAAAAGGATGGGATTGTCTCGTAAAGTTAGATTAATAACTTAATACTGGTGCTAAATGCACAAATGCACAGGAATTAACCACATCTTGGATTGTTAATAATGTAGATTAATAAGCCCAACTCCATTTTTTTTTATGACTGATAATGAAATGGTGCACCCGCCTACACTAATGGTTTACGCTGGTGCCCGCCAGTGGAGGATGATAAGATGAACATGAGGTCAGGTCAGTTAGCCCATCGTGATAAATTCACCAGAAATTTATCACGATAGTTTCCAGGAGAAACCGCGTGGAGGTCAACCTGACATGGTACATTGCTAATAATGGGGTAATGAGTCCACATTACTAACAATCTGCTTCCCCCCAACAACTCCAGTAATGTACCATGTCATGTTGAGATGACACACGTTATTTCCAATGGAAACCATCTTGATAAAATCCTCATGAACTTACCACGATGGGCTAGCAGTCCTGACCTCATACTCGTCCTGTCATCCTCCACCGATGCCCCGCCAGCATAAACACAACACTCGTTAGCACAGACAGATGCACTATTACCATTAGGTATTATCCATTAAAATACACAATTTCATAGAAAACCGCGTGGAGGTCGACAATTTAGCCACCAGCTCTCACTAATTATTCATTAAAATGAGCTTCTAACATTAACTCGCCCCAGATGGGTACAATTTTTTTATAGTTGAATATGAACTGCATTTCCAGTCTGGAATAATGGTATATAACGACAATGTTCTTGATGTTAGCATATCTTCACCAACCTACCTTTGTACACAGTGCTCTGCATTGCCAATCGCTTGGTTTATAACTAGCTTACAGTTTCTGTTCACATATGGCAGTGATATTATAGGATTCAGATGCGTAACATCTTTGTTTTTTTTATTACTTTAATATCCGACACTAGTAGACGATAAGATAAAGTCATGTTAGTTAGTCCAACGTGGCAAATTCTCAGGAATTAATCACAATGGTTTGTAAGGGTTACCTCTGAGGAGGTCGTTGGAGGTCCTCGCGATGAGATCAACGTGTTAATTTACTTTGCTAGAAATTAGACTACTAGTCCCCAATACTAACAATCCCTTCCCTTGTTTAACGATGATTACTACTACTAGTTACTATCAATGGGCCGTCGGCTTCTTTTCAATTTATAAGAAAAAATAGGGAAGGTCTGTCTGGAGTCTGGACTGACTGACTGAATTGAAACTAAATATCACTAGACAAACAGAATAATTCTAGAAAAAAATATTCATAGTAAGTATCGATATATGAAAGCTAAAGGATACTCTTTTTGCGTATTACAACTAAAAAATAGAACATATAAATAAAATTGGAGTGTCTGTTTGTACATACACCAAAATAACATTTTTTACAAATTTTGTCTATCTGTTTATTCCGGCTAATCTCAGAAATGGTTGGATCGATTTTGACGGGATTTTTTTGGCAGGTAGCAGATGTAATAAGGAGTAACTTAGGGTACTTTTATTTTAGAAAAATAAAATAAAATTCCACGCGGACGAAGTCGCGTGTACAGATAGTTTCAAATAAATATTTAACTTCGGAATGCGTTACTGACGTAACTCCAATTTATTGCTCCAACTTACGCCAAAAAGTCGCCAGCACAAAAAACTGGGTGACAATTTTATACAAATTTCTGACTGAAACACTGATAATAAATCGAAAATGAAATCCAAGACTTTTTTAAGCTCGGCCCCTGTTACTCATAAGTTAGATTTATTTAAACAAATCAAACATTTAATTTTAGTTCATATAAACTTTTATCACATCCTTATAGATGTTGTTATTTTAAGAATATATTTGTTGATATAAATACCTTAAAAATATATACACCGCTAGAAAACATAAATATGCATAATAATATTAAAATTTATTTCTAAATTTTAATAGATATAAAATTATTGGACTCTACTTCGACTACGGTTGAAATTGTCATTGCCTATGGTTTAAAATATAAGAATAGAACCGTTAGTTAATAGTAGCACAGATAAGATAATGTTATAGTAGTTAGGTTACTAGTCTTTTTTTATAGTAAATTTATTTTCAAAGTTTCGCTTTGCTTTATTGTTAAAGTGGCCCGTATCATAAATAGGTTCCTATCACCAGTTTTCGGTATGCTATTTAAGTACCTACCTACCTAGTATCACTAGCTGACCCCGCAAACGTTGTTTTGTCATATAAATTGAAATGGCTATTAAAAAATAGGGGTTGGTATACCACCAACCCCTATTTTTTAGTAGCCAAGGGTGAAAATTTAATACTGTATGTATGTTATTTTTATTTTTATTTTTTTATTATGTGATGCCACATAATAAAAAATAAAAATAAAACATTTTGTCTAAAAAATTAAAAAGATGTTTTTGGAGTGAGCCACCCATAACACTTAGGGGTATAACAATTAGTTATAAACTTATTCTCAGACCTACTGAATATAAATCTAACATTTCATCAAAGGCGTTTCGGAGGAGTATAAACACAAAACCTGTGACATGCGAATTTTATATATTAGAAGATATAGGTATGTTACGTTGGTATCTAGGTGGATTACGCTGGCGGGGCACCAGTGGAGGATGATAAGACGAACATGAGGTAAGGTAAGTCAGCCCATCGCGAATTCACCAGTAATTGACCACATGACCAATAATCATTGATTTCATGGCGGACCTCGTGGAGGACGAGCCAATAGGTACATGCCTAGCAAAAAGGGCTACTAGGTCTTATTACTAACAATCCTCTTAATCCCCCAACCCTATTTCCCCCTCATTTAATCATTGAAAAAACCGAAGATTATACCTAAATAAAATGAGGATGTTGTTTACTCTCTCACACAAAAACTTCTAGGCGGTTGGGAAGGAAATTCGTTAAACAAACACTATTACAAACAAGATAGGTATATAAAGAACTATAACAAACAAGATTTACATTCTTGATTAAATTGAGATAATTTTGCGATTGCCGCGGTTACAGTTATTTACTAATTGTTGTACCTATCTAAAGTATTTCTAAATTACTTACGCATTTTACAAAGAATATTAATTAAAACGAAAAATGCCAGAATTTTTTAAAAGTAAACATTGCCTACGTAATACCCAAAAACAAAAATAAAAAAATCAATTTCTTAGAAAAGGATTTTTATTTTTTATTTTCCACGATCACTATAAGCTTTTATTTCCACTATAATGAAGAAATCATTATACACTAGCAACATTATCGTGCAAATGTCAATTATGCTATTTGAAACTCTATTCCATGACTGTACAACACAAAATTCTCTGCTTCAACCAATATTTGACGAAATGCTATCTATTCAGTTTCCAACGCTTTTTGAGGTGATGAATTCTGTTAAATTATATTGCCGACAATTTATTTTTTACTATGATTCGAAGAATAATTAAAGAGCATGTATATAAAGCGTTAGTAGTAATGAAAATTAATAACAAATTTGGTACATTATAATGTACAATATTTATGAACGATTATGCAATTTTTTTATTCACATGATTATTTACATTTTGTAAAGCATAAAATGTTTGTTCACTTAGTATATACTTATTTAATATGAACTTAGTTGGTACAACTTTATAAAAACAAACATTATGTTACTACTAGCTCGGCCCCTGTTACTCATAACTTACATTTATTTAGACAAATCAAACATTTAATTTTAGTTCATATAAACTTTTATCACATCCTTATAGATGTTGTTATTTTAAGAATATATTTGTTGATATAAATACCTTAAAAATATATACACCGCTAGAAAACATAAATATGCATAATAATATTAAAATTTATTTCTAAATTTTAATAGATAGAAAATTATTGGACTCTACTTCGACTACGGTTGAAATTGTCATTGCCTATGGTTTAAAATATAAGAATAGAACCGTTAGTTAATAGTAGCACAGATAAGATAATGTTATAGTAGTTAGGTTACTAGTCTTTTTTATAGTAAATTTATTTTCAAAGTTTCGCTTTGCTTTATTGTTAAAGTGGCCCGTATCATAAATAGGTTCCTATCACCAGTTTTCGGTGTACCTACCTACCTAGTATCACTAGCTGACCCCGCAAACGTTGTTTTGTCATATAAATTAAAATGGCTACTAAAAAATAGGGGTTGGTGGTATACCAACCCCTATTTTTTAGTAGCCAAGGGTGAAAATTTAATACTGTATGTATGTTATTTTTATTTTTATTTTTTTATGCTATGCTTATTTATTTTTATGAAATGCTATCTATTCAGTTTCCAACGCTTTTTGAGGTGATGAATTCTGTTAAATTATATTGCCGACAATTTATTTTTTACTATGATTCGAAGAATAATTAAAGAGCATGTATATAAAGCGTTAGTAGTAATGAAAATTAATAACAAATTTGGTACATAATAATGAATAATATTTATGAACGATTATGCAATTTTTTTATTCACATAATTATTTACATTTTGTAAAGCATAAAATGTTTGTTCACTTAGTATATACTTATTTAATATGAACTTAGTTGGTACAACTTTATAAAAATAAACATTATGTTACTACTTTTTTCCTATAACAAAATTCTTTAATTTTGCACTATTTACACATTTTCGCCAGTGTTCTTTTATTAATAACATAATATTGTAATGTTTAACATTTTACCCGTGTACTATTAATAGCTTATTAACTATTACACAATTAATATTTTGATTACACGATATCGATGTTGAATGTACGAAATAAGTAATATTAAATAAACATCAAAGTAACAGTATATTATAAACTTAAGACGTCTTTATTATTAGAATAGAATAGAAAATCATTTATTCAAATAAACTTAATTTAAGCACTTTTGAATAGTCATAACAATTTGTTTTTTATCTACCACTCGTTCGGAAAGCTGTCTCATCACAAGAATAACGAGCAAGACATTTGTGTGTTGCTCTTTTAAATAATCCTTGTAAGTTTACATTTACAAGTCGAAACCTGTGAATACAAACTACCAACCAGCACTAATTTTTTGGGTCAAATATAAATATACAATAAGATTAAATCAGTCGTAGTGATAAGAGCAGACCAGTCCCTACAAGCAGCACTCGTTCACGAGTATGACGGATGAGCCAACCATCGCTGCGCTCGATTATTAAAAAACCATCTATTACTTGATACAATATAGTTATTTAGCCTCGTTAACGGGTAAGATGAACGATTGTTAAACAACCTATATAAAACAACGAACATAAAAATAAAAACACGAAATGATGATCAACAAGAACAAAACGTTTTCATTAAATTTTGCATCAATTGAATAGTTTTACCTGCTACAAATACTAAAGTAATTCTAAACATAACTACACATTTGCAGTCGGTTAAATATCAACCATGAGGAGCTGGAATTCGACACCACGTTTTGCGAGCTTTGAATCGATTGGTTTAAAATTCGTAGAAGCTTTTATTAAAAACAATATATATATATTTTAGTGTGGAATTTAGAGTAGTTAACAAATTTGTTTATATTTTGTATTTAAATATTGTATTTTCATTATAAAATCATTAAAACTAATTTCGTGCAAAAAGCTGGCAATATCTAGACGTGTGACGCCACTGTAACGTCGCGTTTGCGTCATCATATCGTGAACAGCGCTCAAACGGCACAGACTTGGGAGTTACAATGACAGTGTGCAGTGCTTAGAAACATTATATATATTTTTTTTCAAATGTTTCTAATATCGAAATTATAAAGTACAAAGTTATTAGGATAAGGTATATATTGCTTAATGTTTAAATTTTAATTGCATTTACTATTTCACTTAACTGTTTATTAACTATGTAATTTATTTTTTAGGTTCCTCGTAGAGGCGCCGCCATCATGGCGTCGGACGAACAATTCTCATTATGTTGGAACAATTTCCACGCAAATATGTCAGCAGGCTTTCATGGCCTGCTGTCGCGTGGAGATTTGGTAGATGTAACGTTGGCTGCCGAAGGCAGGTTATTACAGGCACACAAATTAGTTTTATCAGTATGTTCTCCCTATTTTCAAGAAATGTTCAAGATGAACCCAACTCAACATCCTATAGGTAAGTACTTTTATTAAATGCTATACTAAATGAACTGTTAAACTTAAACAATGCCATTCTAATGTTTACTCTTTTGTTTCAGTATTTTTAAAAGATGTTAGTCATTCTGCGTTAAGAGACTTATTACAGTTTATGTACCAAGGTGAAGTTAATGTTAAGCAAGAAGAATTAGCCTCGTTTATTAGTACCGCGGAACAACTTCAAGTGAAAGGTTTAACCGGTAATCAAAATGAAGAAAGTTCCACGCCATCCAAACCAAAGCCGACGTCGAGGCCAGGCCCGAGGTCGTCACAACAAAGGCAATCTGTTATGAAGTTAGAGACTGATTTAGATTCTAAGCCCTCCTCAACTCCAGTAGCAATTAAGAGACCAAATAGGCCATCAATAGCATCAAATAATTCGTCATCCTCACAAAGTGGACCTGCGAAACGAAAATGTGTAGACCCCTTAGAAGCCGGCCCGTCTGGATCAGCGAAGGAAGAATTCGTAACGATACCGGACGAAGATGAAAATAACGCTGTGGCACCCAAAATGGAACCCGAATTTGTTAATGAAAGTATGTGGGATGACGACGAAGATGGCGCTAATAATGACGAAACGAATTTCGGCGAAGACGACTCAAATATGGATATGACTGGTAAGTATTTTTCTTTCAGGCATTATTATAAGCTTTCATTTTACACAAATCTGACCATAACTTCTTTTTTTAACAGGCTTTGATGGTTCGGCAACAGGTGATGGCAATTTAACAGGTGCATCTGGTGAAGGTGGAGCTGTAGGCGACGCACAAGGTAGGTTTACAATTCCCTTTAAAAGTACGGTTCGTCATCTGTGTATGAGTGAACCGTACTGGAATATTATGCACACGATCGATATTATTTCATTATTATTTTACCCAATCTTAACCAAAACATTTGATACATCGATCATGTGCATATTTAGTTGTAGAAAATGAAATTTGTAAGTTTAGACCTAAGTAGTTGTAGTTTAGTCTATTTATTTCTACAGTAAATTTTTACCTGTTCCAGGTTTAAATAAGATAATGCTTTAAGATTACAATTTTTTAGCATTATTTTATTGGGTTTCTTGTGGTTTTCTGGTTGGTAAGGTTTTTAAAGGTAATTGGTAAACGTTTTGTAAGGTAATGGTAAAGTTTTGGTATATTGAAGTTTTCAGTTTCGGTACGAAGTACGTAAGTAATATTGCACATGGTTTTCTGGTTGCATCATATTCTAATCTAAATTGGTTTGATTTGAGTACGTACGCTAACAGCATGACCGTATTTGGTTTCGTTTGGAGACTGCTTTTTATAACCGCTGTTAAAAGCGCTTATGCAAAGCAGAACTTGTTAGCGTTTACAAGGATAATGAAACTGGTCTTGGCATTTTTAATTGAACGTCCCACTTGTATGGTATGAGCATGTGGTACGCTAATGGTGAGTATTCGATTGTCGAGACCTAAGATTTCAAAACCTAAACTCATTAGGCTACTTATGCGACGCATTGACCTGTGTAAACATTTTGGATAGACCATTAACTGTTCAAGAGTTTATGCGTGGTGTAATTTATTCAGTACTAATTGCACATGTTAGATTCGGCATTGGTATGAAACCAGTGTAATCTGTACTGTCTTGCTACACTACCTATACATGTATAGAATTATCTAAACTTGTATGCAATTAAGTGCATAGTAAGGTATATCAGTCGCAGAGGTACTTGTACACTGCTTCAAAATGGTATGTTACATTTACACCGCAATGATTCACCTAATCTATTGGTGTTTGTGTGGGGTAAACTTGACTAGGGTCAATATATTCCCAATTCCTATGCTTATAAAACTGAATCATTGGAATCGGTTTAGACGTTTACAAAGTATATCTCTGCCCTGTACTAAAGGATAACTCTTGGTTTTTACCATGCCATAATTTGATGAAATTGGTAAATATTGATATGTGCTATTTCTGCATTATCTCTGCTTCTGGCAAGTTCTGGTTAGAATGAAGAAATTTAGCAGTGAAATTCTAGGTAATACTGGTAAAAAGCAAAGCATGAGTTACTGTAAAGAGAACCCAAACGTATTAGCAACGAGTTAAGGCTTTTTGGTATCTATAATGTCAAACTAGATGGCGACACTGGTAGCCGACTACGTTACAGAATGTCACTAAACTAAGGCATAGCATATAGATATACCGATTATAACAGTTACAGTAATTAATACTTGTTGCTTCCTAATCCTAATTCGCTGTCGCAGCAACATGACAGGCGAGTATCTTACTAATATTACACACTGAAAGAATTACAGTAATATAGCTTACACATCAGAATAACGAAGTCTAAAATTTATATGTAAATAAATTGGCCGATATATATAATAATAAATTAAAGTGTAATGCCGAGTAAGTTGCGCAGATCTGCCAGCTATATCTTATATATAATATTCTCATGTCACAATGCCAGTTACCATCACAGATAACATATTTCATACCAAGTTACCATACTCCTCTGAAAAGCTTGACCGATTTTTATGAAATTTTATATGCATATTCAGTTAGTCTTAGAATCGGCTACTATTTTTCATACCCCTAAGTGATAAGGGTTGTCCACCCCTAACTTATTTTTTGGGTAAATTTTTTTATTTATATTTTTTTGTCATTAAAAAACACATACCCTAAATTTTTACCCTTCTATCACCAACCCCTTTTTTTTATAGCATTATTAATTTATATGACAACGTTTGCCGGTACAGCTAGTAATATGTATATTCTGAAATAAGCAGTTTCATATGTCACATAAGGCCCAGAAGAATGTAATTATATTTAATTTAATATAATGAATGTAGAACGGTTATCGCTATTTAATGTAGATGACTATTTTGCAAGTAAATTAAAAACCAAAACTAAATATGGTGTTTTTTTTACTATAAACTAACTTTATCAGATGACATTTTTAAACAACATATATATGTAGTTGGAATTGTAAAGAAATATGTATTACGTGGTTATAATTCTAATCAATGTTACTGTTAGCATTCACGAGAGGGCAGTGTGGGTTTCATTCCTGTTGAAATCGTTCGACTTATTGTTAGTCATGATATAGAATTATATATATATATATAATTGTGCTATATAGCTAATAATATATTCATAACTGTATATATTATTGGTACTTATGACAAATGGATCTTTTAAATGGTGAAAAAAAAAAATAGTCGAACAGTAATTTACAATTACAGGAGAGCAAAATCCATAGTAAAATCTTTGTAGTATAATAAGTGTCACCTAAAATACATTATATGGTGATTTAAAAGCGAACTGATATGTTTTATTGACATTTTTATATGAGCAGTATATAGAATTTTCAAACAAGTTTTTCATGAGGTTTAATGAAATTATATGGTTATCGCCATCTATCTAAACATATTTTAATATTATCTGCGTACAGTCTATTAATCAACATAACAGAGGGCACTACGAGTTCAGGAGATGATAGAACCAAAAAATAATTTGGCTAAATATTGGTATAGTGTGATTAAATTTTCAGTTCTTTTATGGTATTCACTGTCTAAATTAGTTGTCTTTTGTTTGTTAATTTCATCATAGTATGTAATTACAGACTAGAGAAGTTAGTATCATAATATTATTGAAAACTAAATCTTTAAAATGTAATTATATCTGTCTCTTTAAATTAGATTAAAATTAGAAATGTAAAACGAATAAGAAAATAATTGTCGATTAATTATATACAAAAAAATAAAAGGAACTAATGCCACGATGGTAGCGCCCTCATTGTACGCAGACAACCATATTGTGTTTATACACGCGTTTTATTAGTTTAAATACATATTTTACGTTATTTTAAGTTTTAGACATGTAAGTTGATAAAACAAATCCTGTATATCGTCTATAAAAATATTATAATCACTTAATTTCGAATACTGAATTTCCTCTTATATGTCAACTTAGTAAAATCTGCGTGTAGTAGGAATACGATTCCGTTATTTGTGGTCGTCCGTCTTCACGCCGTGAAATCTATGGTTGCGATTGTGTCATTCAAAGATTGTTTACTATTTTGGGAAATAATAAAATTTTGTTGTCTAAATATTTTAATGTAATAATTAAATTTAAATATCATGGTATTAATTACGATATTAGTATTACAATAATGGAATATTACGTAGTAACAAAGTTTCTAGTGTGTGTAACCATTTCAGTTTTAAACGTGTTTACGTCAAATGTTTTACGTGATAATACTTAAAGGATGTGTTATTAATGATGTGTTTATAGTTACAAATAGTGTAATCAAATGGTGAAATCTTGTGGTATGTGTATTACAATCCTGTGCAGATCTCAACATTGGGGAAAGTTACTCGACATGTAAATGAATGCAGGTTGTCATCGAGAGTTCCAGGTATTACGTACAATTTAAATACTTCTTCTGTAAAGAAAGGTGCGTTCTTTTATGCATACTAGACTTAAATGAGTGATATAATATATATAATACAACTGAAAAAGCATGAAATCCGCGTTACACAAAATAGCTTGTAAACATAACCTAAAAACTTAAAGTAGACACATACTTGTTTTTAAGCATCAAACTATCATGTTATGATATAAGATATAGGTTAAATAGCATTTAGTATCGTTATATACATATAGTTCTTGTGAAAATGTGTATTATGGGATTCAATTTGTTAAGGTCTTTTAAAATGGTAACAATTTGGGAACAAGATACTATAGTAGATGTCATATCCTTAAAAAGTTAAACAGCATATGCAGTAATAGAAACAGTGACAAGATTCCTATCACTTCAGTAACATAGTGTTTGGTCTTTAATTTTTAAAGGTTCAGGTTCTGATTGTTTAGGGACAGGTAAGGTAATTTTTAAATAGCTAATATTTCTCTAGTTGCCCGAATTCATATATTTTTTTATATTATAAATTTTATCTCCTACGAATAATAATTAGACATATCCTAATGGTAATTTGATCTGCTTACTGAAATTTGCAATTTATATTTTTGGTAGTCTGTATTATTTAGAATTTTTTTTCTCTTTACCTATTTTTTTGTTCCATTTATTGAAAATATTATTATTCAAAGCTACTTCATAATTTTAGGACTACTTAGACCTGTATATTATAGAAATGTGTAGAAAGACCTGTATGTTATGAAAATGAAACGATTATAGATGTGCTTAAATTTTACATCTATATGTTTTTAATGGGTGATAATAGTTTTGTGGCTATACAAACAGTATGCTGGTGCCTATTAGTGGAGCATGATAGGATGACTATGAACCCAGGTCAGTTAACTTATTTTTGATTAAAGTATATTTACACATAGGGATCATGTTTTAATGTGAATAACCATATTATTCCTTACACTGACACACTATATTTATGTACCCTGTGTATTTTTGTGTTGTAACTTTTTATCAAAATAGGTTCTTATCCTATTTTGATAAAAAGTTATGACAGGCAGGGTGGCAACAAAAATAATAACACATTATTGTTTTACAACACAACCCATTATGATTAAATAGGCAGGAATGAATGATAATGGTAACCAGATGTAAACATGTGGAAGTTGACCTTACATTAAGTTTTAAGATTAAAAAAATAAATAACCCTGGACTATTCATACAGTGCCATATAGTCCCATGGTTGGCCCAAGTTGTATAGTGTCCATAACACAAGCTCTGCTTGCGCTTGTGTTATGGATACTAGACAACTTATATAAATACTTAAATATTGTTTCTTGTAAATGCATACATAATATACATAGAACACACACAGA